GCCTACCATGAGTTTACGTTAGGTGAGCTCGCTAGCGAATACGTCAAAAAATTCTATGAAGATCATATTTCTTGAAAGTAGCCGCTAGGGGCGCTGCACAATATGTCATACATTTAAATGTCATTTTTTTACGCAGTCGCTAGCGAGCACACTTAACGTAAACTCATAGTAGGCACACTGGTATCGATATTGAAACTGCGCCTTTATTGAATCGCATGGGTCGTTTATTTGGACACTTTGCATATAACTGCGTGTCATATTGAAAATAAAGTTCACTTTTATATTCACCCGATAGAATACATAATGAATTTCCAGCCGAAAATGATGCAATTTTATTGATAAGATAATGTTATGAGCGTTATATTATGTAGCGTCTTTATTAAATTCCTTTGTTACCCACCAACTCGTAAAAAATGATAATACTGATACGCATTTTTGAAGCTCTTTATTAATGTTTCGTTACGTTAGCACCAATTATACGAACCAGGTGGAACTTTACTTAAAACTGATTTAACGCTTGCGAGAGCATAGCTACAAACCGCTAACTCATTGCAGAACATAAATAGGTACACCCCAACGCAAAAACATCAATTTGCTTCTATGATTCTGTGATAGCAGAAGTTTCCTTTGAAGAAAGTCTGGTAATTCTGTTTTTTATTCAAGTCCTTTTCTGTGCTTGATTCTAGCGATCAAAGAAAAAGCTGATTGAGATAACTTCAAGCTTTCGCTATTCATAAACATGGAAACTCTTTTCTTGGATATTCTTCTTGAATATGCACGTTAATGCATTGAAAAGCATAGTATCAAATAAGTGTTTCAGACTACAATTGCCTGATTTTTCAATTAGTCAGAAGAATCATAATAATGTGAAAAAGCTAATAAGAGTGACGAAAGCAAATCAAGATAAACATGAGGCCTCTTATAGAGTTACAATACGTGCTATTTTGCTACAAAAATATACTCGTATGTCTGATACTGTCGACTTTACTAGAGAAAATTTAAGAAAAATAATGAGGTAATAAAAGATTTCAATATTTTAAGTTGACACCTTTAATCTTTATACTATAGGTACTCATCTTTATTAACTACCTGTCGGTAATATAAGTGGCAAAATCGCAGAGAGGCACGGTGGTTATTTCTTTTTTCAGAAGATTGATATTGCAAAAACGGAAACAAACGACTCCGTATCGAATTTTGCATAAGGTCACTTCAATATTCTAGTTCATGGTCACAGGCGCATAATTTACATGCTCTAAAAATAACCGTAACTAAGTATGTACATACAATACTAGCTTTTGCTCTTCTCCCGCGTGAAACATACAAACTTCCAAACCCCGTTTTACCCCCTTAGACCCAGAAAAGACGGTGAAACGCAACTGCAACGAAACTGCAACTGCTAGTTACTTTTGAGTTGCATCTAAGTTTCTGCCATAGCGTCCGTTGAGAGACTTTCAGTTTCAGTTTCATTCATCAGAATCATCACAAAGTTGCAGTTGCGTTTCACCGTCTGTGCCTTAGGGGTAGAATGTCATGAAATCCGTTCTTAGCAGATGTCTATCTACACCCTATAAGGAACCTACCTGCTGATTTTCAAGTTTGTATCTGTGTTATAAAATTCTGAGATTTCGTGATGAGTGAGTGGGTAGGTATCTCCCTTTTATATTTTCATGCAGTACCTACAAATTTTATACGTTGCCTTGCCGGTTAAGATATTTTTCAGCACACTGGTTCTCAATTCATATTGGATGTCGATTGTACACTACAATATTAAAGCTATGATGAGATTGGCTTATTGTTGATGGCCTCTCTTAGAGGTTTATTATTAAGCCCTATTTTTTCATCGGTCAACCACTTTGAACTGGAGGAAGTCGATCCAATCTATTCCATATCTTATCATTGCGTGTCAATGACAGTTCCATTTTGGCTTGGGACTGACCTTTACTTTGTTTAGATAAAGGTCAAGTTGCTGATCTATGCTTATGAAGTGCTATTTTGGGAATTAGAGGTGGAAAATGTCACCAATAGCTTAACACTTTGGTGGGCAGAAAAGTTAAGAATTACTTCCCAAATGACATTACTTATTCACATACTCACATTGCCTATGGGAGTAGTGTTAATATAAAACGAGTAAAAACTATAACGTCTGTAGGCGTTCTGTCGTATCATCCCTACCTGAACGCCCGTGGACGTTACTGTCCATCAATGTGTTATGGGCTAAATGTAAACCTGGTCATAGTATTTTGGATTTAGTCTATATTTACAAAAGCTACAATTCTGTAGCAATGTTTAAGCTAAGCTTTGTCACTTTGTCAATAGTTGATTCCGCTGTGATGACAAGACGGAACAGTGTTCAAGTATTTATGAAGGGTTAATGTCCAAACTTCCTAACAGGGTCGTTCAGCCCACACGATTAGTACAATGTATGAGGTCTCACAGTGCGCGTGGACGCACAGGGTGACCAGTCACAGAGCTCTATTCAACGCTGTGCGTTCGATTTGCTGCTTCACTTAAGCAAGCATCGTTTGTTAATACGGGTGTATAATTACTGCGCAAGCAAATGTAACTAACAAAAATGATGTTTTAAATTTTATCATTGATGCTATACCGCGGAATGTGGTGCATGTAGGTAATAAGGTTACGAACCTATACTTATCAAAAGTTGTTTATTTAATGAAACTCAGTGGATTAAGAACACTACGAAAGAATTACTTCAGTAATCGCAGGGGAAAACCGTCGTAACTGTGTCAAAAGATTGGACTTAATGAAAAAGTTACGGACGGAGTTAGCCTGACATTTATCGTGTAAAGCTTTGGGTTCATTTAATGCAGATATAGGGGAGAGTTCGGTATATTGTACCGCCGGGTAAATTGTACCACCCTCATATCTCGTAAAGTATTTATTGAATGTCTGTAATTGCAACACTCAGCGATACACAACTAAAATCAATTAATATCGGCCATGTGGTTTTTGCCGTGACAACAAACACGTGTGTTTTATTTTGAAAAGTATTTTTTCATTGTTTTCAAGTAACTTTTGACAATACATGTTTAGTTTGTAATTTTGTTAAATTTAATCACAGGGTGTTTCTAATATATTATTTAGAAGCGTAAATTAGTGTGGATTACAATTATTTGAAACATTTTTCGGTATTTATAAGCTATATTTTTTACCGATTTTTTAAAAGCACTATCACCTAGTCGGCTAAATTGGACCACACCAAGTTGTATGGAACTTTACCAAAGGATTTTGAAATTTTTTTTAGTAAATCATATTTTGAAGTTATAATAGCGTAGTTATGTTTGACTAACAATAAATGAAAGCAAAAGACTGGCAAAGTAGATTAGGTACAAGTGTGCGTTACGATAATTGGAATTACAAAACTTGTACTCAAAATCGTGATAACGTGTAAAATAATATCGATTGTCTATGTTATTAACTACTGTTCCTTTTCGTTTCCTAATTTGTTAAGAATGTATCGTATAATATTTTGCCATAGTTTTTTATAGGCTTGAAATTTATTGAAATTCAATTTAGTAAGCCTGTGGTACAAATTATCCAACCGGTTGGGTAAATTGGACCGAAGCTCTGAACTCGTACTTTGTTTATTTGTGCTAAATATACAACAATCATGTTAATTAATACTTATGAAATAGTAAGTTGAATAATGTACCTTTTATTATATACCATGGACATTAGCAAAAACAAAAGAAAACTGTGTGCAAAATGGGATTGAAAAAACTGGTCCAAATTAGCGGACTCTCCCTTACATATGTCCAGGTAACGACATCCTCTTGGTAATTTACAGTTTTAATGGCCAAGGGCCAGGGGACTTGATATAGTTTATGTTATGGTGCCGGTAAATGGTTTTTGGGGATTATGTTGATGATAAAATGTAAATTGTGTAATCAAATCGGATATAAGTTAGGAACTTCTCGGTAATTTATGTAGGTAAACGTAATTTTAACACTGTGCAGATAAATTGTATGTATCTGGAATGTGAACATGCTCGTGATTATTGCTTCAAGGTATGAATTTTAAGTGTTTTATTTTGCTCGACACTGAAATTTTGAAATAAATTCAAATAATGTTTTACCTACATAATTAATTTGTATAAACAAAATAGAGGTAATAATTATTAAGTTCATTTTTCACTGAACTCATAATTTTATGGATTCCAGCACTGATTTACAAAATTTTATTGGTAGACTTGTGCTGGTAATAATGGAATCGTAATATTGTTTATTAATATCTGAAAGTTCAACGTGAAAAGTTTTTATTGACCTGCGATCAATTAATGAACTTGATGAACTAATAAATAAATGATTGATTTGTCATTGTTTTCTTTTCAATAAAAGGTCACAGGATACCAAATGTGATGTGTGACATTTCGTGTAAGTAATTAACTAAAAGTTGATTTATTTAATTAAATTAAAATAAAGCAAATAAAAGTTACATTCAAGTCTAGAAAATAAACTAAAACTAAACACTAAACTTAAACGACCCTAATAGACTCTTGACATGACCCATACTAAATGTCAATTTAAACCAGGGTTCATCAGTCTAACTTTTTGTAATAAAAGGGTAAGCATTAATAATAAAAAACTGAAACAGTATTAAAACATACTTAAAAAAAAAACATTTTAACGATACTTTGACAAGTGTGAAAAAGTTAAATCAAATGTACTAGTCGTTAAAAATACGATTATCGATATTATGGAATAATTATACTCGACCTTAAACAACCTGATGTAAATTGCGAAGCCTCTGAAAAAGTTCGTCGGTGTCTTTTAATGAATTAATTAACACCTACAACCGAAATAGCTCTTTTGCTTCACGTTTCATGAGTCTTTGAACTAAACCGTGTTCATTTGGAGTTAAGTTTACTGATGTGCTGTTACATAGAGACAGTTCGATGTAATTGACGTCACCTAAGCTGTTTCGTATGCAAATTAGCCTCGACAATAGATCAATAATTTAGTGGTCTTATGGTGATCACTCACTTTGTGTCCATGGTGAAGTTTTGAAGTACGTATCGGAGAATGGTGGCGGCGGGCTGATAGTTTTCTTTGTTCTGCAGGAGCTGCTTAGCTCACTGTGCTAACACACAAGGCACACAAGTAGCTCTTGACTCGAGCCTTACAGCTTGTTTGCCGAACGATTAGCATCGTTGTCCCCGCTCCCAAAGTTGACATTGCGCACTTACAGATTTTTTAACCTTCACGTAGAAATTAGTTGGGCAAACTTTAACTGATATTTTTGTGTATCACTTCACACTGAATGACATGTTTGCATGGAACATTACAATGAACAGTGTTACAAGAACTGAATAGAAACTTCAACAACTTAACAATAGGATAGTCACTAAACACTTTTCGTAGTTCGACTTTTTATGGTGTAAATAAATTTTAACTTATTTAAATTAAAATCTAAGTGTGTTTACATAGTGTTCTTGTTTGACAAGTTTTGCGCGTTCAGTTGTTTCGCGGGAGAAAGTTTTCAGCGCGAGCGGGTGCCCGTCGGCTGAAGCGTTCGCCGCGGTTGACGCGAGGCGAGTGCGTCTCTCGCTTCAGAATTCAGACTAGGCGCACATATAGCGGTCTCATAGGGTGCTCGGCGCGCTATGGTGCGGCGACGAAGTTTGCCGTGTCCGCACAAACACCACTCGCACTTAATTACCTTGCTATAACGCCAGTTAAATAAAAGACCGTTTATTTATAGCTTATCTGTAGGAGTGTTTTCTTTTACTAATGTGGTAATTCTTTGGAAACGGCATGTCCTTAGTCTGATTTTGCCATGAATGGTAAACTATTTTTAATGTAATGGCCAAAAATCAGAATTTCAATATGAACACTTTCATTTTAAAAGGCTGAACAAGAATCATGATCAATGATGTTCGTAAATGCGTTACAACTTATTAAAGAAATATCAAAATGTTTTTTTTTAAATATTACTTAAAAAACATTATTCAAATCAAAAGGCAGCGTCCTTTACGCGCCGCGTATAAACAGTGCAAAGGCGCGAGGCGGCGTGGCGGCGGCGCGGCGGCGGCGTCGTGTGCAGGAGCGCTAATGAAAAAATATCATGTAGCAAAATGGAAAGATGTCAAATTTTCTTCCATTAAGCGACCCTGACTTTTTCTCAAATGCAAGATTACATACGAGTATAAAATACAAATAGCAACCATTAGCAATGCGAATCTCGATTCTCGAATAATCTCTTTGACCAATTTTCCAAGCCTTATGTTGGTTAGATACATTTTTGTTTTATTTTACATCTTTAAGATCGCTTCAATTCGATTTTAGGCTTTTAGCATAAGCATTGTATTTTTCCATTATAGCAAGCACTTAACGAAAGTGGATTTTCACGAAAAGTATTTATATTTTAGAACTGAAATTTAGTTTTTTTGGCAAATTAATAAACAATTTGCCTAATGAGAACTGGCATTTAATGTTTATACTTAATGGACTAAGAAATTTAAACTTAAATAAGTTCAGAGTAAATACAAGACAAGTCAATCTTCGTCTATAGCTACATAGCCATGGGTTTTGTTCAATCTAAGTTATAAACGCTTTTCTTCGGAATTATTAATTTCAGTCGGTTTTCGCCATCTCAAAAGTCTTTCAACGGCGTGACAAATGTCGGCCATCACCATTATTAGCCATAAGCAGTAATCGTGGCTAAGAGTTGTGGACGAAATTTATCTTGGACGTTTTAAATGGTATCAGAGAATACAATATTATGTATCAGCGTCTCACTGCTAAGTTTGAACTAAACCTCTTTTATACTAAGCTAAATATACTTGTGTTACTAGTGGTTTCACCACGATAGTCTAGCGGCGGCGGGAATCGAACCTGCGTTCCTAGGATTACAAGTCGGCCAGTCCGACACCTTCACCGTTCGGCTATCGTCGCTTTATCGTTCGTTCGTTCGTTTCAGCCGAAAGACGTCCGCTACTGGACATAGGCCTCCCCCAAAGCATTTCCTCAAAGACGCTTCGCGTCGCTTCATATAGTTATAATATACAGGGTGGCCCAGAAGAAAATTCACTTTTGATAATTTAAAGAAACGAAAACTGTACATTTTTGTAGAGATTTAACTATTGCAATTTAAAGGAAATTTAGTGCAATTTATTTAAAAATTTACTTTCTTTTATAAATTTGATCGTACATGTGATTCCCTTGTCGTTTACTACATTCGGTCAACATACATCAAAATTTTGGAAAACTTTCGTTAGAGTTACCTCGAAATGGATTCAGGATGGATGAATGCTGCAGAGTTTTTGGATTATTAGAGTATACTATTCTCATAAGGTAACCCCACAAAAAGAAGTCTGCTGGAATGACATTTGCGCTTCTTAGAGGCAGTGAGATTTCACCCCTGCATAATTGGTTTGTTGCATTGAAAGGATGATTAATTTTTGAGAGCGCTATACTGGCAGGCTGAGAAGCTTTTTGATTTCAAAGCTGCAAGATTCGCAAGGCTATGACAGGAGCACTTTGTTTCATCAAGATGGGGCTACGTGTCACACTTCAAATGAGAGCATTTAGATGGTAAGAGAATTGTTCCCACAAAATAATAATTTCAGGCAGGGGTGACATCTCATGGCCACCAGGAAGCCCTGATCTCAGTCCAGAAAATTCTTTTTTGTGGCGTTACCTTAAAAATAGAGTATACTTTTATAATCCAATAATCATGCAGCAACTGAAGCTGAGCATTCGGTAAAAAATTTAAAATAGGTTTTGAGGTAATTTTAACGAACGCATTTCAAGATTTTGATGTATGTTGTAAGCGTCAAGGAAATCTCTTGAGCGTTGTAATTTAATAAAGGTAAATTTAAAAAGAAATTGCATTAAATTTACTTTAAATTGCAATAGTTAAAGTTCTACAAAAATGTACAGTTTCCGTTTCCTTGAATTTTCAAAAGTGAACTTTCTTCTGGGCCACCCTGTATAGTGCTATTTAGATCCGGAAGTAGTAGAAGTAGATACAGATGTATCGAGATAATATATGTATAGAAATTAGATAATCTCAGTGTGTATAAGCTTTTGGCTAGACACAACAAAAACCTACTGTCTTTACAGCATGTATGTATTTTTTTCTTTGTGCAATAATCTGATGGATTTTTCATGTAGCACATCTCAGCCAATCATGTAGGCTGTGTCATAACCTAGTATCACAATTGTGAGCAATTGAACCGAGCTTTTTTCTGAAGCGCAGAATCCTATTTCTTTTAGGGCAATCAGGTTAATAAGATAACTTGGTTATATTTCTGTAACCCATCCGAGGTCGATCGACATCGAGATCTTTTTAAAAAAAAGTAGCGCTGTCCATTACATGAAAACTAAGGTAAAAAACACTCAAATATTTTCATTTTACCTTTTCTCAATTCTATACAATATAATCGTACCTAACTAGCTGAAAATAATGCTTTACAGGAATAATAACAAGGATGTCAATAAATAATTTCCGTCGTCATAGATAGATGAGACGCTGCTTAAGTCGCTAATTTAAACTGCTCTTCAATTTATCCAGGGTATCTCAAACTCAGGTCGCGAAGCCCCAGTGGTGGTTTGCTATAGTGTTAGATAGAGTAAGTATCCAACCATTCATATAATAACTTTTTGAGGCGTGAGTTTGTTGCGGCGCTACTTCTCAACACTTGCCAAATATTAGTCTCGAAGCGCTGGTAGGGCAAAAAGATTATGAGACATGTGAGTGAAGGCTTCATAAGAACAAAACTTTTTTTTAATAATTCTTTTAATTCTTTTATTTTATTTTTATATTTTTATAGTAACATGCAAATAACTAATTTTGACTTTGACTGACTTTTCGAGTGCTATCAACATTATCTACTCTTAGCGTTACTTGACATGAAAATGTTTTGGTGCGATATTGTTTTATAGGAGAGCAGACAACCTATAAGATAGTAGATTATAAATGTTCAAATGCAAAATGTATTTTGAATAAAAATACACGTATCCAAAGGGTTCGGTAATAATATTTTAAATAAAAGTCTCTGGGGTTACATGTTAACATTTTCATGCAAATCAGCGTCGGATTGGATAATGAAGTCCCAAGACAATAGATCTAAAGCGCTGAGAGCGGTTTGAACTCTGAGTTAATTGGATACTGTATAATATGTTCCAGATTGGTAGCACAGTGGTTAGGTAAGCTAAGTATATAAATAAGAATATAAGGAAAATTACCTTTCAGCCTGCGAAAGTAGACGAGACTTGCGTTTATTATGAGATTAAAGAGCAGTCGTAATCAACTTGACGGTGTGTGATTAGTCTCATGATAAAAATAGAGAGTGAAGTGACGCTAGCAATTTTTGGATTTTGCAAAATCGAACTTAATCCAACTACATAAAGTACCACAATGCTTGAAGTACGACTGGCTTTGAAAATAAACACGTTTCTTATTTTGTTGTGGGCTGTAACGATCTAGTGACGAACTCTGTAAGCCTTTGTAGGCGTCTGACATGACCTAAATAACTTATTAAACGAAGCTGGAGAAATAGAAGTAATAAATCACAATAATTGTCTTAATTTGTCTAATTGATTCAAACCTGAAATGCCTGTGAACCAGATTAGGAAACAACAAAACTTTGTGTACTTTAGCTTAGTAATCAGTCCTCAAAACTTCGGCTTAACAATTAGATAAAAGATAAGTTATAAGTACGAATTAATTTACTTTCGCGAAGGCACTATTGAGAAATTGAATAATCTTCTATTGTCAAACGACACTTCAAGTTATTACTCACAAATAGTTACAGACTACTCTTATCTTGGAATGTAGATAGTAAATTCAGGATTAATCCATTTCGTTTAGCGATTTTAAATTTTCTTGTGTTTAGATTAAAGTAACTAAGTAAGCAGTGTTCAAGTTCTACTAAGTTCTGCTAGTAAATATAATACCTACATAGTTTTGATTAAAGAAAGAATGGATAATAATGTAAGCATTAACGAAGTAGGTACACCTATTGTAAAGGGGCGTCCATAAATTACGTGAGGCTTTTAGGGGGGGGAGGGGGTCAACGAAAATCTCACTAAATCTCACGTGGGGGAGAGGGGGGGTCTCGGAAAATATCACGTAATTTTTCCCGCAAGAATAGAGTAAAATTGCCAGAAAACTGGGTTATTGAAGTAAAAAAAAAAGATTTTTTTAATGATTTTAATGACAATTTATTCCAAACCGTCTAATCAAATTAAACTAAAAATGCCTCCATCTGCATTTATGAACACTAAAAGATGCAAAATAAATGTCGAAATTAAGAAAATTCGAAATTAAAAAAAAAACGTCGTCAGCATCGCTATTGCTTAATAAATTGGCCAAGTGCGTGTCGTCCCACGCGCAGTGTAGGGTTCCGTAGTTGTCTGTCGTTACCAGAATATATTTCAGAAGCAAGCAATTACTTCATCTAAAGTCACTTTTCATATTTTCTTCTGAGGAATTTTTACTGGTTAAGAAATTGTATAATACATGAGTCAAATGACTATTACTCTTAAACTAAGTAATGTATCTTAACCGTTATAGTATTCCTTCATCTTCAAAAATTCATCCCCACTTTACATGCAGGGAGCTCCCCTGCATGTAAAGTGGGGATGAATTTACCCTAGAAATTTTATTTTACCGTTTTGTCGGCATGATTAATATACATACCTTCACAAAATTACAGCTCCCTAGTGCCAATAGTTTCCAAGTGAAACCTCGGACAGACAGACAGACATATCGAAACTATAAGGGTTCCTTGTCAGGACTACGGAACCCTAAAAAATGACATAACATAAGTATGAAAATAATATGTATTCGTAGTTAAAGTAACCAATACTCAAATTTGACAGATGTCAAATGACAAGTGGTTAAATAACAGAAAAAAATTGTTTTTTAACAGTGTTTAACTTGACTTTTAGTACATTTTTTAACTATTAGTTTACATTTTTATTAATATTTAACCATTAGTAGCAAAATTTAACAATTAGTTATTTTAACTGTGAATCAAAAAACTGGTCCTAGGTTGAAGCAATTGCTTGTCTTACTAAACGACGGGAAGCTACGGAACCCTGCACTGCGCGTGGCACGACACTGGGTTACTGATTTTTTCATATAAATCTAATATACTCGAAGCATAGACATTGCAAAATAGGCATTTTATTAAATATCACGTGAGATTAGGGGGGTGGGGGAGGGGGTCAGGCAAAATCTCACCAAATCTCACCAAGGGGGGCGGGGGGGTTGAAAAATGGCCAAAATTGTCTCACGTAATTTATGGACGCCCCCTAAGTATACTAGATGTTGCAAATGATACACTCCGTTGATGTCACACTTTTAGGTAAATGTGAGCTGTGTGCGGTTTACCTTTGATGCTTTATGTGTTGTATAAGCTCGCAAGATAATGAAAAATATTGTATGAAAGGTCGGTGACCTTTGAAACTCAGCAGTTTTAAATTCAAACTTTTGCTGCTTCTGTGGCTGCGCAAAACATAATAAAAGACTTTGTTTTACACAGTCCTTTATTTTATCTTTATTTTATTAGATGACCTGCTGTCGACCGTTTCTTCAGTACTTACTTAACTCTCCCAATAGAAACCATTTCAATGTCAAAGTAAAACATTTTACTACCAAATAAAATTCACGGTTTGTCTTAGAAGAGAAGTTCTTGGATATTGAAGACTTCGTCTATCATTCGGTTGTTTACATAGGAGTGAGTTCACAATTCTGGTGGCAGACTTTATGAGGCTTCATAGTCCACATACGTTTAACGACATGGTTCACATACAAAATCACTTGTTTCTGCACAATAATGTTGATTTTAGCCTGAAGCATCTGAACAAAAATAGGAATATTGACCACTAGCTTTCCGCCCGCGGCTTCGCCCGCGTGGAATTTTGTCTGTCACAGAAAAACTTTATCGCGCGCGTCCCTGTTTCAAAAACCGGGATAAAAACTATCCTATGTTCTTTCCCGGGACTCAAACTATCTCTATGCCAAATTTCATCAAAATCGGTTGCGAGGTTTAAGCGGGAAAGCGTAACAGACAGACAGACAGACAGACAGACAGACAGACAGACAGACAGACAGAGTTACTTTCGCATTTATAATATTAGTTGGGATAGTACCAGAAAAAAAGTTTTAGTATATTTGGTGCATTAGACCACCCATCTCCTCGTTTACGAAAGTAACTCAGTCTGTCTGTTACGTTCATCCACGCCTCATCTACTGATGCGATTTCAATGGAATTTGGTATAGAGTAGTTTTAGTCCCGGAAAAGGAAATAGGAGTTTTTGTCCCGGTTTTTGAAACTAGGATGTGCGTGATAAAGGATTTCTGTATCCGACAAAATTTCAAACGGACGAAGCCACGGGCAAAAGCTAGTAAGATAAATAAAAATCAATGCTTGAATTGATTTTCCAGCTGTGACCTATATCCCCTTGGCTTTAGGACCAGTGATAACAAATGGCGATCCTTCGACCCGGCCTGGACAACGGACGTAATCAATTCAACTAACTAGTTAATTGCGTGCTTATTGATAAAATAGCAAATGGATGGCTTTCATTCGTACGGAACAATGGGATTAATACAGGTATAAATCTCACCCAGGAATTTCAAGCCTTTGATTGGTCTAGTCACAAGTTTAATTTTATTAATCGTTAGTTTATTATCGTTTAATTTTAGTTATACGAATCATAAAGATTGTAAACTACTAAATACTCGAACCTAGTAACTAAATTATGAATCACTTGTACGAATAAAGCTGTATGAAACAGATGTGTTACTTGAAGTTTCCCCTGAGTTTCCAGTTTCTTATACACACACGAAAAGCAATTTATCACTGATTCTTGTCTAAACTTCCAGACCTGTCAATATAATGATGATTTAAGTAATGGTAAGCTTAGGCTTCTATTTAAGTTGCTATTTCAGCTGAGGACTAATATTTATTTAAAATATCTTAGAGAAAAGCATAGAGGGCCCCGTAATAGTCGTTGGGGAATACAAATCGATAAAGAAAACACTTGGCGTAGTTCTTATTGATGTAGAATACTTATTGTCGGGCTTTTTAAATTAGATGGGAAGTCTAGTCAAAAGCGTATTGCGTAGAAATAGATGTCTTAGCTTTGCTCTGCTTGCAGCTCAAGCTTCACTAACACTTGGAACACACAGAGTAGAATGAATACCTACCTACTTATAATTGCTCATGAAATTGTAAATTGCCGGCATACAATTTTAGCATGAACAATAAAATTGTTTTTCACGTAAAGAACGTAGGTAGTGGGCAAGCGAAATTTCCCGCGCACCACCATTTCTCATGCCTTAATGTTGGAATGAGCGTTGAAATTGGTTTAAATGTGAAGAAATTTTTATGAAAAAGCGCTCTTGCAAATAGAATAGGGAACAGGGTCTCTATCCAGGGTAAAAAAGCAAGGGTTTGAATTTGTCCGTAAGTTAACTTAGCAAAAAATACTCGACATTCACTTTTTCAAAAATCAAAAGAGACCCGTGACGTCAAGGAGTGCTTAAAGTGTAGCACTTTGTGACATCAAACGGAACTTCTACGCATCATAACTTCGTAATTAAGTACTTATTTGATTAACAAATAAAAAAATATGTGCCGAATATTTTTTGATTGACGGATTAAAAGGTTTTTTTAGGAAACTAGCCTATTGGTGCGCTTTTACATAATGCACTCGCATGGTAGCTTAGAATATACAGACACATGGCGGGACGTGATTCAGCAGAAACGTTGTTTTTTTACGAGCGCGGTTCAACGATTTCAACATGAACTTATTTTGGTTACTTATTGCTGTTCAGTCCACCGTGTCTGCAGGTAAGCTATTTTATTCTAGAAAATGGGACTCGCTGTACATATTTCAGTTCTGCTCTGAATGTGAGAGCCAAACAAATGGAATTGGAAAACACCGGGGTCGGAGGAGAAAGGTAAGATGAATTGAAATCAAAACAAGGTTCAACAATGTTAGAGGCTTATAATAATGTCACAATTTTATAATGCGATATGGGTTCTTAGGCATCATTTAATTACTAGATAGATTTGTTACTTAGGTAGGTATTAGAATTCCTTTAATAGTTTTCTTGGTTTATCTGTACTCTAACAAATCATTGCTCCAAAACACAAATGTTCTGTAGTACGTTACGTACCTACTTACTTATTTTATATTATGTTTTGTAACGTTTTATCTGTTAGTATTCGCATAATCAAATTGACGATGTATTTCGGTGCTCCTAAAAACAATGCCGCTAATGAATCCGCCACTTTATCCCGATAGCTTATCCTTATCAGGATTTATTTAGTAACGAAATAATTGTTGGGTTCGAGCACATACTTAAATAAGGGATCAATACTTATTCCATAAATATTTGATACGGTACAGAAATTAGATCCGAAATAAATTGTGTGTGTCTAAGTTAAGCTGCTCTTACAGACTTTATTTGAACGTTGTTTTTTGTTACTATTTTTATCACTAAATTTCGACCTTTTTGGGATTTCATACGCAAAAGCTTACCATTTATTTGGTTTTACTTATATTATTTATTTTGTTCATCTAGTTTAGTACGAGTAGATTGTTCTTTGTATAGTGTAACAAAAGGTGGGTAAGTTTTACCTTAGGTCAATCGCTGTATTATCGCCTGTGTAGACAAATATCAATGAAAAAATATTACAGAGAATTATTTTTTAGAAAATCTAGGTACCTAATATTACCCACCATTATCGGTCGACCAACTTATACAATTTAGCTGAAGTTAGTTTAGGAACTAAACTAAATACTAAACTTTAACCAGCTAACTTAGTTTAGCTCTACCAACTTTGACCGTAACACATATTATGGTGGGTACCCCAATTGCTTAACATTTCTTAATACGCTGTAGTACTTCCAAGTTGTTTCATTGTGTACTACATGCCCTTAGTTACATTTACTTGGCCTAAAATATAAACTCTTCATTATTTTATAAACTGGATAAACTTGTTTCTCTGACTCTTTGAAGATAGGTAGTGGACGTAATTTCAAAAGAACAAAATACAGGAGCTTCATCAAAGCTGATAAGGCGCGCAAACAAATGTATTCAAGAACAATGCTTCGTGGTTTATTTAGGAGATACGAGTGCTCACATTTTTATCCTACCGCAGACGCAGAACTGAGTATTGTGTTCACAGACTAAAACAAACTGCGATGTGGAAAGAATAAAATATTCATTTTTCTATTTATAGACCTAAGTAAAGCAAATAAACTTTTATTGACGTATCGTGAAGATATATCAACACTATTAAAACAACAATACCTATGTCATAAAATAATTAAGAACTAGGATACTTACGAAAATCTCTCTCTCATGATGTCACTGTCACTCACACCCCATAAAACTTCTAGAGCAGTGGTTCTTAACCTTTGAGTCATGAGGGACCATTTTACCAAATTTCTGTCTTGTCAGGGACCACCTCAATCGGTGAAAACCAGTTTGACTGCAAAAAACAGTTAAAATTGGTTTTGACCAAGGTGTGCAAGTGCACTTCGTGGACTACTTGGAATGCCTCCAGGGACCACCAGTGGTCCGCGGACCACCGGTTAAGAACCACTGTTCTAGAGTAATGCGTCGTGAGACCGACTGATATGCCCAGTTATCCTCATCAGATATTCTTAAAGATGGATCAGTAGAACGTCAAATGGATCTCTAATAATTTATTTTATTTTCTGTTATTAGTTTTTTTGTTTTGAATTTTAAATTTATTTAAGTAACTTAAAAATAGTTTAACATGCATTGCGTTAATTTAACTCTAAAATATCTTAACGCAGCTCTTTCATCCACACAAAAACTAGCAACTGGTGTTAGGTATACTAAAACTGGAAACATTATTGAAGTTTATAATCTTTTTTTTTCCTAATGATATACAGTGTGAGTCACGTTAAAGTGTACATATGAAAATAGATGAAACTAGACCTATTTTTATCGACAAAAAAGAGGTCAAAAAATTTTTGAGATTTAAAAAAAAATTTATAGAATTTTTTTCTTCCAATTACTTTTGTAAAGAAAACGTAATAACTTTTAAACTAAGCGGTATATCCTGATAAAATAAAAATAGTAATAATGCTAAATAACAGGCGATACTGAAAAAATACATAAAATACCCAGAAAATGCCAACAAATAATAAAAAATGATACTTTTTGAAAAAAATCTGCTTAAAAATTCGTATTTTTTTGGTTATTTGATAAATTTCTCCTAAAAATGCCCCTATAATAGGTGGTTTTTATTACTTTGTATTATTCTCTATCGTATTATCTTTGTAAAACCAAAAATCGCATGTCTTTATCCCTAGCACAACATTTGCTATGATCATGATCAGCACAACATTTAGAAATCCTTGGGGAGGCCTTTGTCCAGCAGTGGACGGTATAAATCTTCGAAATGGTTTAACTTTAGTTAAATATTTTGAGCAATAAAAGGCATAATAATACCTACGAGTATTATGGTGCTAGATTGCGATGACATTCAAAGCTTCAAATAGCTTGTAATTGTCTGTGACGCAAGTTCAGTCTTCTGTGATGTTCTGACGTGCCTAAAATTATTTATGATCATCCATTATGACCTAGATATTGCTAACGAAGATATTATGATGTTACTGGCGATTTAAATTTATATTCAAATAAAAATAAAATATCCTTGGACATTTTACACCGCGCCTCTAGTCTTTTTTTGATTATGAGTACCTACTTTAATACAAAATGATAGAATCGCTTTTAAAACTTTATTAGTAAATAGATTAAAAAGATTTGAAACCCAAATATTTTAATAAAGGCACAAACAATCGTATGGAACTTACAGCTAACTTTATTATTTTGCAATTTCTTTTTGTTTTCCAGACAATGACGTAAAGGCTTTTAGGATGTTTTCATTCACTACTTTGAAATACTTATCACTGCTAGTCTTTGTGTTTTTCATTAATTAATTCTTGAGTAATTAAATTAGCGAGTGCTGTTTTAATACACTTAATTGCAACACAGTAAATATTCGTTTTTGTTGGCTAACGAGCGCGACTGTAACACAATCTGCGTTATTAATGAGTAGCAATTTTTCTTAAAGACCTTACATTTTTCTTTAAGTCTTTTGAAATTTGTTCTTTGGTGAAACAACCTTCCAGTAAGAACAAAAACTTATTTTCAAAAGAAGCTAGCAAGACAATATTATTCTTTTAAGTCTGGAATGCCTAAAATAGGTACTTTGTTTGTTTTTCCTCGGAAAATCTAGCCTAAAATGCCTACGCAAAAACGGCTTCTCATCAACAAACTATTGTTAACCATTTAACATTCCAATGTTAATGCGTTAACATTAAATTACAACAACATGCTGTGTAATTTTCATTAAAACTTAGTGGAAACTTGTCCCGTCCCTCCCCGCTACATCGGGATTATGAGGCTCCCGAACTGTAAGTAGGCTCGCATCGCCGGCTTGGGTCTGTCAGATACTTTGCTTACATTCGTAGCTAGAAATAAGGTGAGAATATTTACATACAACACCAGTTTCGTAAATAATCCTCACTTTATGTATGAAGATATTATGGTATTTCGAGATGCGTGAAATGGGGAGAAGCTTTTCCAGCAGTGGACTGACAAGAGCAAATGATGATGACATTTCGGCTTTCTTTTATGAGTGTAAGTTTTTTATTAGCTGCAGCAAATCTTTAAATGTTCCTAAACTAAAAGTGTCATTAATGTGACGATATATCATGATTTTTCCAACTTTTTAAAGTTTCCAATATTGTACCATGTCACTATAAAATTAAAGTCCAACTTTGGCCGCAGATATTACCACCCGATTAAAGATTGCGGCTTAACTTTTTCTTGGCACCTTGCCCTAAGTCGAGCTGGTAGTTTGCACTGTCAGCGGAAAGTGTAAATTAAAAATCCAGAGCATTTTTCTCTTAACCACAATCTACCTAAAGTACCTGGGTTGCAATTTATCAGGAGCTACAAGTGGGTATAATAACAAGTAATTAAAGTGGTGAGGGGAGGAGTGGACAGACAGAAGTGACGATCACCATACTGTTTGTATTTCGTAGCAGTCGGAAGATTAAGCACTTAATGAGAGTAGATTTAGAAGATACTAATGTTTGCTTTGGACGTAAATAGAACTTTATTTACACTTGCGTTTGCACTTTACAATGGAGTTGTTTGTGTGAGCAAAATAAACTAAACCCAATACAAAGAACGCGGAGTAACAAAGAGAATGAACAGAAAGAAGACAGCTGAAACTCTACATTTTGTTTGTAACTTTATTCGTTTATCTGCATTTTTCATTCTAGTATTAGAGCTTGCATCAATATTCAGGGCATGCGACTTATTTGCGCGATGAAAGATTTTTCCAACGCTGTATAATGTACATTGCTCACCATAAAGAATTCAGATTACATATTTTCATGCAAATTCTTTAAAACTTGAACAATTTCAGTGAGTATCAGTATCGTATCTTGAATTATTATAATACTCAGCGTATTTAAAAAATCAAAGCTATAAGTACTAAAAAGCTAACAACGGGCAGTAGGATAGTACATAAATCAAGGTCACACGGAAAATCATTTAAAAAAGACGACAAGTCTGTCTTGCTTATCATTTTTATTGCGGTGTTACTAGACCTTAATATAGCAAACTGGAACAAAGAGAACGAAAAATAACGAACATAAATATCGGGCTCACTCAATCAGACTGAGAAATCTTCCACAATTTAAAGGCTGAAATAAAAATATCATTCTGAAATTATTACGGAAGCTTATACAAATTTGAATAAAGGTAGCATAATTTGAGCTGACTTTTATAGTGCTCGTAAAAACCCTGATAGCACTTTAGCCTTTCTTTTTAGGAGCCCTTAACAAATTTTTCACGGCTTCAAGTGGATCCATCAACATGATTTTAGCTAAGCGGGATAGGCTAAAAATCTAACTTAATAATCTTATAAGCTGGCTAGAAACAAACAATTATTAAGTAAACAAAAGTAACCTACGATGATGTAGCATTAGTATTTTTATTTTATTGTCATTGTTTCATCCACGAAGACGCGCCCGCCCACCAATTTTTGGTCGAGGGAATCGCGGGGTGCGGGGAGTTTGATCCGAGCAATCCGAGCGTCATTATTGTAGTGTGCAATCATGAATACTTAATTTAGCGTGTACCGACAACACTCAAACATTTGCGGAAGAATGGGGGGGCGCGTCTTCGTGGATGAAACGATCTATATTTAGGTTTTTAGTGTCGGTCAAGCTGTAGATCTTGGCCACAAAGGAGTTGCAGCGGCGGGAACGAAAGGTGGGAAGTCCCGTGATCAGTTTCAGTCAGTAATCTATGTAACATTTTAAGTATTTTGTATTTTAATTACAGCATACCAAACGGCGCAAACGCAATGTAGCTTAACCGCGTGTGAAGTATTCGAGACTCTAACTCGAGGCGGTCGCAAAGAGGACCGCCCCTCGACCGACCCTTGCGCCCCTGACGTGCACTGGCGGCAACTGGACCGACGACTGCGAGCGATCGAGCAGCCAAGTATGTGCACATGGTTTAATCTTTTTCCTCTTCTTGTTTCTTGGTTGCTAGTTGCTACGACTTCAAATAGATCCATCATCATGTTGATGGATCTACTTGAAAACGCAATGTAGCTTAACCTCGCCTCGTGCGAAGTATTCGAGACGTTGACTCGAGGCGGTTGCAAAGAGGACCGCCCCTCGACCGACCCTTGCGCCCCTGACGTGCACTGGCTGCAACTACACCGACGGTTGCGAGCGATCGAGCAGCCAAGTATGTGCACAATGCACAATGCACATGGTTTAATCTTTTTCCTCTTCTTGTTTCTTGGTTGCTAGTTGCTACGACTTCAAATAGATCCATCATCATGTTGATGGATCTACTTGAAAACGCAATGTAGCTTAACCCTCGTGCGAAGTATTCGAGACGTTGACTCAAGGCGGTTGCAAAGAGGACCGCCCTTCGACCGACCCTTGCGCCCCTGACGTGCACTGGCGGCAACTGGACCGACGCGACTGCGAGCGATCGAGCAACCGAGTATGTGCTCATGATTTATGCTTCAATCACATCAACGCGTGCAGATCGACATAGCCGGCGATCATAGGGAAATGGCAGGTCGCGCGACCTATGACAGTTCACGCGACCTGTCATTGGCCTTTGATCGCACTGTGATCGCGCCTGCGCGGCGATGGCGATCTGCACGTGTTGGTGTGGTTGAAGCTTTAATCTTTTTCTTGAAAATAATTCATTACTGACGGCATTGCTACCATGTACCTTAATTACGAGCCTCCGATATTTAGGCACTGTTGCAAACGCCATGATCACAGAGCTGAGTAACTGAGGAACTAGCGGATTTGAGCAATTCCGTCAATAATAATTCTGTTAGTGACCATGAAAGTTAAAACAATATAATATTTTTCTTCTTCTTGTTTCTTGGTTGCTAGTTACAGAATTCATTATGATTCAAGAACTACGAGTATAATTAGTACCTAGCTTCTTCTTTATTTTAAACTTATTCAACTAAGAAGACAAATTATCTCTGATTAGTTGTATTCGTTTCTGGCCCAAATTTAGAACAATAAATTAGAGTAATCAGGAAGGCAAAAAATTAATATAGTCGAGACGATTAAACGTTTACAAGTATGCAGCAGAAAAGCTTTTCATCAACGGAACGAGGATAAATAAAATTGTTGGCATATTTGAACGCCATGCCAAAAGACTTCAGCATTTTTGTAAGATATGATAATATCTGCTGAAGCCTGACTGAATGATTTATGACCAAGTAATTGAAGAATACGTTGCAGACATAGAAATTCGCCTTAACTTAAATCGCAAGCGACGCAGCATTTTTAGGAAAAGTTCAGTATCCTTTAAAAGATTTCGCAATGGATAACAACAGGCTTATGGGTACATTTTGCTTATAAAAATCATGATTATTTTACTACCCTATATAAAATTCAAATGAATACATCAAATTACCCACTTGCCGTCCTCGTAAAAAGTTCATAACTCCAAAATTTCCATTTACGGGTATAATAATAATACTGCATTTATTACAATTTAGGAGTCAAGATTTCATTATGTTAGCTTAATAATAAGTAAATAAGGGTTAAAAAGAAAATAACAATAATAAATAAATTACCTAGTCCTACTGTTAGTTCGCATCACTTAATTATTTTTAAGTATAGAACCAACAAGTATTTTAACCAATAGGTTAACTAAAATTCGAATAGCTATTTTCTAAATAACTTTTATAATGTCGACGTCTGTTACATCAGCAGCGCAATAGGAAATGCATTTGCACCTACATATAACCGACTTCTTGTTATTTAATTTTATGCAAGTTCAATTTCTTTTTACTTTATAGCGTGGACAATAAGTTATGGCCAATCGAGGTGGCGACAATGCTCGAAGCACGTTTGCCGCTGCGACGTCACCAGGCGTTCGCTGAACTGTTGGAGGTCTGGACTGACGACACTGACCACTGACCTAGTTGTGCCTGCTGATCTGCTGACCATGTAAGTACTGGAGGATATCGCTGCCTAGCGATAAGNATGTAAGTACTGCCAAAAGAGTGCGTTGCAATATTGTGTCCCCTTTATTTGTTTTTTTTTGTTTTGTAGAACTAAGAGTTAGTTCTATGTAATAAAGTAACACCAAGTTCGCACTGGAATTAAAATTAGCAATAAAATTGTATCTTCATAATTGATGTTTCTTAAAGGTAGGTATAGTGTTTTCTTTTAAATACAATACTATAGACAGGTTTTATTATTACGCTCATTATTTATTATTAGTAACTTGCAAGTTCTATTTATCTACTTTTGACCTACTTCTTAGCTTAGTCCATGTAGACAAATACATACAATAGTGCCGAATCATTAAGGACAATGGATAAAAATGTTACAACTAAGTTGTTGGACTAATGAAGTTCTCCTTTGTGATCGCCTAGTGAGTCCCTAGATAGGCACAAAGGGCTTAATTAGCTTACCTCTTACCTTTACAGCGATTTAGGTACAAATAAATTGCGAACCCTGCATAAGACCACGTTCAAAGGCATGCGATCGTTGGTGGAGCTGGATATGTTTGACAATCACGTGGAGTATCTGCCGTCGGGAATATTCGAGCCACTTGTCAATCTGAGGATCCTGTGAGTTATAGTCTTTGTAAATGCACCTACAAGCAGGACAAGGGCCTAGTGTGAATTTACATAAAACGTGCTCACTGTGAGCGTGTCAAAAAATGACATTAAATGTATGACGGATTGTACAGCGCCCCTAGCGGGAAACGTTCAAAAACTAAAATTTTCATACATTTTTTAAACACGCTCACTAGTGAGCGCGTTTGATGTAAACTCACACTCAGCCAAACACAGCATGTCAAAATAGTCACATAATTATTTTACTCTTATGAAACTACATAAAATGCCGCGGTAAGCGCTTTTCTGAACTTTCCCTTGAATTCAAAGCCGCCCCTGATCTTTTAGTTTCTAAGAACTGTGATGAAAATATTTGTTACTAGATTAATTAAGACGTAATTAATTAATTACTACTTAATTAAGTAATTTAAACAAAAAATAACTAACTCTGCTGATATTTAAAACTCTAGAAGTTATTGAAAATTCTCGGAATCTAACGCCTTCAAGTTATCAATGTAAACATTTTCCTCTTCTAAATCTGACAAAAGACTCCCATAACCTTTCATTTTTCTTTATGAGTTACGTTGTGGGCCCTAAAGTAAAATATTACGATGGCACATGAGTCAAGTTATTTCTCACAAAAAGCAATCCAATCCCCATTTGTGCACTGTTTGCCCTCAGATTTTAGTTACAATAATATTTTCTCTGTGATCGCGGGTGCTTTTCCAATATGCTTTCATAAGCATTTATTGTTTATAAAAGCCCTTGACATATTTTTTGTTTAAGCTTTTTGCTAATGTTATAAGGGTCAAATGATTGTGTTATTTATTGTCATTTCAGGAGATTACAAAGAAATTACTTAGAAGAACTAGACAGCGAATCCTTCAGGTCAACTAAAAGGCTATTTCATGTTGACTTATCGAACAACTTTTTGTATACTTTACCAGAAAGGGTGTTTGCAAACAACTCTTTATTGGAGACTATAGACATTTCAAATAACCAAGTCATATACGTACCGGCCGATAGTTTTGTGGGACTTGACTCGTTGACTATATTGGATCTTTCCAAAAACAAAATACAGAGAATAGAGAACGGAACTTTTCTAATAAAGACCCTCCAAATATTAAAGCTCTCTGATAACCGAATAAGTAATATTACTGAGAATGCTTTCGAGAGTTTAATTTCACTGGAAACTTTACTTCTAGACAGAAACAAATTGGAAAACATTCCAAGTCGTTTGTTTTATAATCTGACTTGCTTAACATACCTAGATTTAGCAAGTAATCATCTGTTGAGTGTAAGTATTTTCTGATGTTTCAGAAATTTTCAGAAAGTTTTCATTGAATATTATTCAGAAACGTATTTGATTTATAGGATGGAATTTTAGTTAACAGGTATCGAGTTTGAAAACCTAAAAGTGCTGCATACGCTCGATTTAAAAGAGAATTCACTGACGGAGCTACCTGATTTCACATTTTCGAAGTGTTCAAGACTTGAGAAACTGGACTTGTCCAAAAATAAATTACGCTTTTTAAACGTCACAGCATTCCACGGCCTTGAGAACCTCACTTCCCTTCTGCTGTCAGACAACAAACTATACGAAGTGCACTTTAAGACATTTTCTACTTTGAAGAATCTTACTACCTTGTAAGTATTTGCATTTTAGTCATTTTCGCTGCTAACTTTCACCCTGGACGAATTAACCACGGTTTATTCGTCCAAGCTTTCACCTTGTAGGTTTTAATTTGTAGGTATTTAATCAAATCAACTAGTGCAGAAATCATGGGGTTAAACTTAAAGGGCAAATTCTCTGTAAAATTGGACGTATACAGTATACAGACCCTATACAGTATACAGGTTTGTCAGATATAATATCTGGTATGTTCGCAGGTATATAGATGGCAACATGTTTCCATCATTGCCATCGCGGACTCTGGATTACATGCCCAAATTGGCAATAGTGAAACTGTCCGGCAACCCTTGGCACTGCGACTGCCACGCGCTGTATATTTCGGCGTAAGTTATATCCTACTTATTTTATTTGAATTTTAATGTAATTGGGTTTGAAAGTAGTAGCTTTACCTACTTTATAAGAATTAAAATAACACACCAAAAAATCGGATCCCACTCAATACCGATTTTTGTTTTATTTGACAAAGAAATCGTGATATTCTCATCATTATAAATGTTTATTTTTAGGCATTGCTCGCGTATATCATTAGGAGAGGGAAAAATCAAGGCTCTATTTCTTGTATAAAAAGCACTGATATTCTAAATATCAAAAGTAATGTAACATGTAAATGACTCTGAGTCTGTAATGTCTTCTTACTTTAATATTTGAAGCCTACTGTAGATGCTGCGAGCTAAGTAAAAATTAACGAAAATAATGCCTAATTACCCATGTTATTCCGTTTTCCCATGGTGAAAAGGTAGTGTATGTAGGTGCGTTTAGGGTGAAAGGCTGTTTGTTAGATATTTTATCTCTCAAAGGGTAAAGTGCAGTGGTAAAAGGTTGAAAGGTATTTTGGGCGATGCATTAAATCTTAAAAACACAAATTACGTATTCAGGCGATGTTTTTGTTACAAATCATTGAAGGAAGTACGAAGATAAAACTCCTGCCCACTTTACATTCTGAATATCAAAGAGATGGGCATTAATGATTTGGGCACGTTTAAACTGGGTAATCTGATCTTGCCTTGCCATCGTAATCTATACAGGGTGGAAACGATAAGTGATCTCACTCGATTTATTTCTAAAAATCAATGTTTCTAGCTTATATCTTTTCTTAACCTTTGTTTGTCACCTGTCATCCGCTTTGCAATGGAGGGAAGTAGAACCTTACCTTCGAACTTCTCCTTAATGTTCTTCTAATTAATTTTGTTGCGGGTCCAATGACAGTTTAACTTTCCCCCGGGATAAACTTGACCTTCACTGGTTGGGTTTTTATTGGCGGTCAAGCTGTAGATCCAGGCTACACAGGAGTCGCATCAGTGGGAACGAGAGGTAGGAATAGTCCCGTTTTTATCGTTTCCACCCTGTATAAGCTATAAAATATTATTTTCTGTATTAAATTCCGGGATTTCCCTAAGAGAGTGAATATTCCGTAATCAGTATATAAAATTGGCAAGCGTGATATGATAAAGCGTGAAATGTTTTGAAAAGTTTCATGACACGAGTTACTATGTAATTACTTTATATGTACCTACTCAATCGTTTATTGCTTTGTCACATTAGTTTATTAAATTCACATTAACGCATTCACATTACTATGAGGTCTCACAGTGCGCGTGGACGCACAGGGTGACACACGAACCAATCACAGAGCTCTATTCAACGCTGTGCGTTCGATTTGCTACTTCACATAAGCAAGCATCGTTTGTGAATACGGGCGTTAGTCTTACAATTTAAGCAGTTAATACAATATGGACCGAGTTAGTTATCCAAATTATTATTTGGGTATTTAACAAATGTAAAGTATGTACCTACGTACAGCTCTCAGTTCTAGAATTATCGAAAAAATGTTTTTTATCAAGTAGTTTTTCATCATAATCTTATCGAGATTAGATTTTAATCAAATCACTGTTTAATCAAGTTGAAATCTCGTGGATGTCTCATTAATTAAACATTCAAGTCTCTTCAGTATTATGTCATTCCTAAATTTACTAAAGAATACGATTATTTTTTATGAAAATTATGATCGTTTGGAATAAAATCAACGCTTAAGGAAACGGCTCACGTTATGCTCGTTTTCCTTATTCCCCGTGACAATTACATTTGATTGCACAATGAAGTAAACTGCTGTAGTATATTCAATAACAATAAAAATTCACCGTTGCATTGCTTTCCTTTACCTTCATTTGCTTTCCTTTGCCTTGAATCAGATTACCGAGTTAGGTACCCCCTTCACTAATTTTTGCCATTTGATATAATTTTACCTTTCTCATGGCTCTATGATATTACATACCTAAATACCTATTGCGACAAATGCCACCGTAACATTATTTCTATATTTTTAACTGCGAGAGTGTCATTTTATTTGAACAAAATATTATCAGAGATTCGATGGATGCTTTGATCCTAGATAGACTTTAGTGATCACTTTTTTCAGATTAATTACAAGTTTTCAGAAGATGAAACCCTAATAAGATCATTTAAGTAAATGATCTAAATCTAGCTGGGTATTCTTTATTAAAAGTATTGGCACATTACATCAAAACTGTTAACTGGTTATCTCATAGGTACGATACCTACACTTGACAGACTTTACACTCTTTTAAAAATATAGTAACTACATTTTCCTTTTAAAAATACCAGTAATTTGTCTTTTAGTAACATAACAATTAAAACAAAAAAACTATTGGTGACAGCAATTTCGCGTTCGGATTCGCCTTAAGTCAATCTGCCGGAAAGACCCTCGGCATTTTATTGCCTTTGTGTATAATCCACCTGAATCTACGGGCAAAAGGAAGCGATTTTGCCCTTTTTCTATTTCCAGTGTAACAGAGCATTTCCCGGGCTAAATTATCTTCATTGGGTCCATAATGTCGAAATTTAGCCTAGTGGAGAGTACTCACTATTTTACCAGTTAAACTTACTCGTAATAAAAGTAATTTATATTTTAGTATCCAAATATAACAAGGTCTCAAAACATACAACTGAATAACTAAATATTTTAAAACTGAAAATCTGATCTTATAAAAGTAGTAAGTAGGTACTAATTAATTACACCAGCTGATCACGTTACATCACATGGGTTGATACAATTATTTTGTTGCTTATTTTTTAGTTTCTTTCTATAAGTTGTGGTACAACGAGTCTAGAACAATAAATGACTCAAGACTAGGTACATAATTTCGCACTTTACTTGTAGAAATGCCTAAGTCGTAAAATCCACGATTTGACCCAAAGGCATGTCGACCGTAAACCGAAATTACGATACCTTCAATAAAAAGCGATTTATATAGCCTTTCCAACACTCAGTGAATGTTGGGATAGACGTGGTTATTCGGATTTTATATTTGTTAGGCTAAACCCTAATTTCAGGCTCAGACTTTGTCCTAGGCCAAATCGGTTTTTGCTAGGCTTGTCATGTAAAACAACAGATCTTCTAAGAATCCCGGAACTCCGACCTTTCGTTTCCCGACCGCCCGCTCTAACCACTCTACATAACTTTGGTAAACCTGTCGACAATAGCGAACAAGAATTACAAGATTTGTGCCTTAGGATTATCTCATATTACTCATATCTTCAAGCATCCGCGTCGGTCGCATTATCAAACGATAATACCAATTTAAGCGCAAGTCATTAGTGTGGAAAATAGGTCATTAATGAAAATTTTCCACTTTTCAGATGGGTACGTCTGAATGAAATGAAGATATGGGACTACTCCCCCACGTGTATATCGCCTTGGTTCCTCGAGGGCCACTTTTTGAAGAAGCTGAAGTTTCCTGAACTGTGTGCTGGCCAGTGGGCAAGCATGGTGAACCTCTCTCCAAGGCTGCCAATACAACAGTTGCTGGCTCTGAACGTATCCGTAAATAGAAAGCCCCAAGACAGCATGGAACAGAACCATGACGTCACTACTATTGATGCTTGGCATTAATAAAATAAGTAGTAGTTTATGAAGTTGTCTGTAATCATTAAATATCTAGTCTAAAATATTTGTTGTGTTACTAATAGTTACCTGCGTACCTGCGGGATAAAATAACGAAATCTGAGTCTGGTGTTGACTTTTCATTAATGAATATAATAAGAGAAAATGACCATAGGTGAAGCAATTAATAAATACAAATAACTCAAATTCCCGGAACAAATTAATTGTAACTAACCGCAAATATCGTTCTACCATGCACGCCACGTAGGGACTAGCTCGCGCCGCACCCTAACTAATTGGAAGGCAATATTTATTTCTTTCATAATAACCCACCATTGGCCACAATATGGTGTTCTTATATCTTCTATAAAAAATGTTTGGCACGTAGGTAAAATGCATGTTAGGTGCTTTTCTATGCTGACTCTTTGATAGAAAGGTGAGATTTAGTGAGATATATATACCAGCACGTTTCTAAAGCAGATACTTAGAACTCTTCCCGATAGGAATATTACCTATCTAAATGTAACTTTTTATGAAAATAATCAGGAATTACCTAAATGGGAAATATTATCGAAAGCATTGTCAGTTCTGCTAATGCTACTCGTCATAATTTTTTTATGACGCACAATTTCACAATTCGATACTGAAATGCTTTTACACGGTAAAAGTATTTCCCACACACGTATGTAATATTTAAAAATAAACAAGTAATCACGTGTTGCGAATTGATAACGATAAGTTGGTATCAAAAGCAATCACATACGTGAAATTATTGACCGCTAAATCCGCTTTATGAAACGAAACAAACTAAAGTGCTCCAAGAAGCGTCTGTTTGTCGGAAAACCGAGTTCAAATACAGAATTCAATCTAGACGCTTATGAGAAACAGAGCCTGAAATGAGATTGGAAACGTATAAAGTTGAGGGAAACTGTGGATCTTGTGGGTCGCATAAAGTCGAAGCACACTTATCGACCCGGAAACGGATCGTAACTGTATCGACGCGGTCAGTATTATTTGTATGAAACTCCGTACTGCAACGCACACTTATTCGCACCGTACCGTAAATGCCTCGCCTCGCGGTGAAAGGCGTGCGATGCTGATCCCTTTCGGGGTTAATAAGTGTTTAATGACCTTCAATGTTCCGGGTTCGTACTGGACGTCACATAAGTTAAACAAAAATTCAAGTTTCCTAGCTCTAATGCAACTTGATAATGTGACCTTTGCGTGATGGACACAAATAGACAGTCGTAACACAGATTGTTTTCAAATAACCGTAAAAAGTTAGGTATGAGTTTCATTAATATTCGATTTATGATAATTTTAATCTGATAAACTGTGACCGAAAATAAATGAACATGTAGCTTTTTTGATTAATCAAGATAGGTAGGTTGAAAATTTAATTTGGTTTGACGGATACATTTCACGAATGTGAATAGATGTAAGTAGGTAGTAGTACATTGCTACCCTGAAGCAAATAATTTATCGATTATTGCTAAAAAAAAATAAACACTAATATAATTAATTAGTAAAACTCGCTTTAATCGTAAAGTAGTTTTAAAAAATAATTGTGCCACTGCTGTGTGATTTCAGGGTTAATAAAACGACATAAAATACTGCAAATCATTTAGTTGTTAGAGATAGATAAAGTGAAATTTATAAATTTCAAATTTTTTGAAACTTATTTTCCTAAAACCCTAAAATAGAAAAATAAATCTTTGTGTGAAAAAAAATCCCAATCCTAAGAAATTTAACATATGGTACGTTCGTAATCCATTTGTGCAAAAAGATAAATACATACATTTTCTATGTAATTCTTTCCAGCTTAGTCAACACAGAATTAATTATCTGATAGCGCAACGAAATACGTCATTATTAATGTTTTGTACTTATCATTTTATCGGCAGCGGTATCTTTTGATTCAAAAGGCAATTACTAATTTGATAGTGAAGTTTTAATCGTAGACCAAATTCACTCTCACACTTGGATAGAAGACCATAAAGTATAACAAATTTTTTGGCTAATCCACAAATTAGGTTTATGGAATCTAATCAGAAATTCCGGATATGTAGTAGGTATATCTGAAACTTTCAGGAAGCGATGAAATTTTCCTTTAAAGTAATAGACATTATAAATATTAACTTATTATTATTTTTACATAAGGTCTATCGGCAATATGGAAGTGGGGCATCCCCCACGTATTAAAAATAAGATATAATCTGTACATAACGCCCATAATAATCTGACCATATAATCGTAAATAAGCCGGATTTAAACAAATCCACAATCATTTATAACTACTACAATGCTACGAATATCTGCACCAGTTATCTCATTTTTATTCCTTGAACAATGAAATCTATATGACTGACTTAGCCAAAGTTTCTAAAGCGCATCAAGACAAAAATATACTTTATTCCGTCCTACCAGCATGGTAACTTAGAAGCAAGGTTAATACGTTTCGCAGATTTCATTTCAATAAACAAAACTTTTGCTTTAGCGTGGGCGTAGGCTTTTGTAATCTAAAATACTCACAAGTTTATAACAAGAAATAAGATAAACTAGATCCAAAATAAACACTTAACAGAGCAAGGCTTATGTCTTTCATGTTGCTCATATTACACATTAATTCAGCAAAAGTTATGTACGAGTAAGTACGTGGATCTACGTAACTTTCTGGTTGTGTTCACCATAAGTTGTAAGTCCCTTTGAGGTTTCTATAGACGGTCGCATATCCGACTTTACATGTTTCTTGAAAAATCGGTCTTATTACCACTTCATAAGACTTGTGCTTAGTTTGATGTACCGGCGTCTGTCCGTTTTGTATTAAATCATGTAATTTTAACTTTCACGCAGTAATATGATACAGGATCGGGATAAATATTAAACGGAACAAAGCTTAATAAGCAATAAATTATTTGAATTTGAATTTTTTATAATTGGCCATAAGTTATTTCGTTATTTCAATTACCAAATTAATGTACAGTCTACAGCACATAACACAATCCTTTTTATTGCGAAATAGCATCTATTAATTACTACATAAGATGCTACAATGTTTACCTTCATTTGCAGTCGTCCGTACTAGATATTATGTTTCTTATCTAGTTATTTCCTTCCAGATATTAATCGATAGATATGGTAATCGCGAATGCCAATGATAATAATAATTTCGTTCAGTTTGCCCATGTCATTATAATTGTTCACATCCTTATTATTTACCTGGTGGTATTGTGTTTTAGTAAAGTGTTCGTGCAGTGTTTGGATAAGTGTTTGAGTGATATAAAACATAATAATAACAAGTGAAAGTTGCAAACATACCAGTGCTTTATAAACTTCGCAAATTTATTTAAAGATTTTCGGTGAGTATTGAATGAACTATAATTTTATAGCTATAAATAATTGAAACTCATCTCTTTTGAACCAATCAGTAAAAACTAACAAAACAGATTAATGAGTAAAACTTTATTACTTAGTTCGCTTTGTTTAAAGACATAACTTTGCAGCAATCATTACATACTTTTGATATTGAATCAGTAAAGTAGGTAATTATCTCCTAATTAAAAACATTCTTGATGACATCACAAAGTAGGTAGGTAGGTACTNCACACTAAGGTACTGAATGTACCTACAAGAAATGGCATGTTGTGCGTGCATAGATAATACACGACAAAGTTTAGAATGTTATTTCGGTTTGGTTTGAGTATTAATTTTGTCACGAGGAACTTTTCTCATTATAAAAAGCTAGTTTTCCTTTTTAATGTTGCCATAATATCAAAAATCTATTCTCAATGTGACTGCTTAGCACCAATAGAGCTACCAGTCGACAGCACTTTAATATTTTTAGAGCAATCTAGCGCCTGTTGCAACTTCAATAAAAGATTCCGTGTGTAGGTACATATACAACTTGATGTACTATCATCTATACAATAATAATAATTGTCCATAAACAAACAATGTCCATAACTGAATTAAGTTTCAGCCAGTTTTCTCAACTTGTATTGATTTTCTTGATTACCACAATTAATTGTGAAATGTATCACCATTTGTGTTGAAATTCACGACACAAATAACGCTCAGTCATCGCGATGTCAGATAGGGGGATTTCCTGGGAACCAGGGTTTTATTGTGGCTTTTGGGGAATTTGACAAGAAGAAATCCCTGTGTGGAAAAATTGTTAATCGTATAAAAGTTTCAGGGGATAAAATGTTATCTAATTGAACTCGGAAAAATGTCGTCTCTATGTAATATGTATGATATTAGGACACCGAGTTAATGAAATATCTGGCTGAATAATATTTAAAATATTGTTATTTATTTGAGATATTGTTAGAGATTTGATAATAGTAATATGTTGAAAATATTGGGGCAAAATTCATAGAGCCATCCAGCAGAACTAAGTCATCCAAAGACGAACTCTTTTTTATATAATTCAAATTCACAATTTTTTTATGCATAACAAGCCAGTTATTTGACCACAATCGCACCTGATGTTAAGTGGGATGCAGTCTAGGATGGTACATGTCTGCCCTGTAAGTGCCTATTCACTCTCACCTTAAAAAGTTCTTCTTGTTATTATTTCTGTACCCCCAGTGAAAACGGAGTTAAGTCGAAAATGGTGATTTTTGGGAAATCGCATTTGAAGTTAAAAAAAATCCTGCTTCGTCGCTATTAGAGATAACTTGGNTTATTTTACATCAACAACGATTTCATAAATAGGAAATAAGTACCATGTAGGTATTAGAAATTCAGAACACTCTTCGGATTATGACAAATATTTGTTATAAGGAAACTCTACTATGAGAAATGTATTGAGTTCGTGACATTCTCGTATGCTTTTGTTGTTTGTCTCTCTATACGAGTATTTTGGAAGACATCGAATCGAAAGGCAGAAATTCTATTTATAATAATATGTTACGTAGTTATTACTTTTCCCAATCTTACGTAGGTGATTACTTTTTTCCAGGAATGTCAGAAGAAACCAGTATTTGTTCAATAAGACTGAAATAACATAAAAATGGAGTATCGGATATCCATTACACTTGTTTGGCTGCTAGTATTTTCTTTTCACAGTAGCTATGGTAAGTATTGTAGCCCCTACCTAATTACTGAACTTTTTTATTCAAATCAGTCAGAAGTATTCTTTCTTTTTTTTATCCACATCGACGAAGCTCTTGGCCTGTATTTCTGTTATCTTTTATATAGTAATTTCTATTCAAGCAGCATTTTATTCATTATCTTTTTATAAATAATAATAATAATAAATCTTTGGACAATTTCACACAGCGCCAGCTAGCCCCAAAGTAAGCAACTTAATGCTTGTGTTATGGGTGCTTCTTAACGGATATACTACTTATATACTTTTTTTTAAATACATACATATAATACATAGTAACACCCAGACCCGTCACAGAAATTAAAATTCATCATTTCAATTTCTGCCCGGCCGGGAATCGAACCCGGGACCTCTCGGCATAGTAGTCCGCTCTGAGCCACTACACCAAACGGCCGACAAAAAAATGTTACAGGAAATGTATGAATTCATACGGATTTCATACATTTCCTGTAAATTATACACTAATATTTCTTACAGGGTGCGAAATGGGACCTGTGGGTTCTCTCTGGCTACCTCGTACTTACTCTATTAATGACACATTCTTGGGAGACATATTCACTGATGAAACTAGAAGCATCGCAAGTATGTGTATTCAGAATTACCTACATAAATGAAAGAATTTCTATAGCTTTATGTATTATCACAAATAATGAGATCATCATCGCCAAATTGACATAAAAATAATATTTGGAACAATATAAAACTTTCAGTTTAATCTGGAAATCTAACCTCATTAATCTGATTATCATGATATTTATGATAACTTTGTTTATATTTTCTTTCACAGGTATAAACAGTATTGTCGTCACCACTAGTCTGAACGGGGGACCCTATTTTGGAGCTTCCTTAGTGGATTCGCAATTCACATTCTTCACAGTCGACTCCAACTTCGAAAATTATGAAGAATATGAAACTGAGACAATTTTGAATTTCAATTTAAATTTCAATTGTGTCGGAGGAACAACTAGAGCTATGGTAAAGGCTTGCATTTTCAATTGCAATAAACAAAATGTATCATGCGTGTCAAAGCGATATAAACGTATTTACATGACTATTAGCCGATAAAAATGTTATCTATATTAAATCTTGCAGAAATATTTTTTCCGTGAATTCACTTTTAAATTATAGTTGTTAATATTTCAGACTATTACAATCAATATTCAAGACACCAACAATAACGATCCTGAATTTATACCAGATGATGAGTTTAAATTCACCGTCATTCCTCCACTGCCACCAGGTTTTCTGATAACTAACTGTTTTGGTGAAATTACTGTAAGAGACATCGATTTGACGACACAAAGAATCGATTTCGACATTATCGATAGTTCGTTATTCGAGATAGAGTATGATGCAGAGTCGTCTACTGTGCCTAAAGAATTCAAAGCTTCAATAAGAACCACCGCGCTAATACGAAATATCCCTGAACCAATAGTGTTCACAATAAGTGCAACGGTAAGTTTATTTAGAATTACTTAATGCATTATAAGTAAATTTTATGAATGAAAAGAAGAAATTCGATGAAGACCGAGACTTAACTATATTTCATTGATTTGATTACCAATAAATAAAAAAATAATCGAAACAATATCAGTAGGTCATTTTTCACTGACTCTACATAACTTTCTCTAATTAACTGTCAAAACACGTTTTCCAATAAATCGATAACATCACTTCTTCGTCAACTCTACGAGATGTGAATTGATTGGTTCATAATTTAATCGAACATTTCAGGATGTAGACTTAACAGGTGACCAACCCCGAACCACGTACGCCACAGTAACAATAATAAGCGATGGTGAATTCGAGTTGCCCGAAGAGCCAGTGTTCACACAAACATTTTATTTGGCCACGTACACAGAGGACCATCAAATTACTCTACAGGAGACAATTTCACTACAGCAAGGATATACCGAAGACGTACAATTCAGTTTAGACCAAGGTATTCTTTATATTCGGAATCTATTTTCGAATCTCCTAGGAAATTACCCAAAACTTTCAATGTATCTCGTAAAAGGAATCTCATTATTGAGGGTCTGGCCTTCACGCTTAAGAGTTGAAAAGAACAACTTCATCCTAAACCTTGTTCAATAACGAATAAAGGAACGATGTAAATGGATACAAAATATCCTATCAAAATCTTCATGACAAAATAAAGTATTTTTTTTATTAATTTGGACCACAAACATATTCAGAATTCTATACAAAAAAAGACTTTATTTGGAAACAAAAATTAGCTTTAATTATAGTGAATAGATAATTGTTAAATTAAAGCCAATCTGGATCTGGGGAAAGCCTATTTTCTGCAGCAAACTTTGGCTCAAAATAATGAATAATTTCAGGAAGTACCCAAAACTTCGCAATTGAAAGAAATGGCAGTGCTATCTCGCTGGTTGTGGCGACTCCGCTGTCCGCTGAAGTGTTCGCCCAGCGTCAGATCCTGCTCGTGATAATGGCCGAACTCGAGAATACCAGCGGCGCCAGTGCTACCATCGTTGTAGAATTGCCAGAAGGTAAAATGCTTATTTCAAAAAGTATGTACTGCTTATTCTCTTAGTTGCTGGCTATATTAAAATTTATATTCAAATTATTTATTGTTATAAAGGTTGTTCAATATAATATTGGACAGTATGAACCCTTGTCAGGCAGCTGTCTTTAATGTTGGATTAGTTTCTCTCGATCCTGAAGGTTAAGCTTCGATTCCCACATGGTGATACCTAATATTAAACAAACAACTTAATCAATTGAACTATTTCTCTGTTTGCTTATCATGTCACGAACATGGCTTGACCATGTTAATTGTTGATGTTGATGATGTCTAATGCATCATACTCGTAATGTTGTGACCTAAGTTTTCACAGCAGAAACGATATCGTGAACCAAACATTGCCTAACTCTGTTAGTTTTAATTCTTACTTATTATTATAGTAAGAGTCGAGCATTTTTTTTATATCTGTTTTTATTTTCAGAGGAAGAATTAAAATTTGAGCAGTCTACATACGAAGGAGCTATAGTTGACAACGTTTTAGACGTTCCCCAACTAGTTTTGTCTCAAGGCTATGGAAACGATCCCGTGTCTGTGGAAATATTAAGTGGTAATGATTACTAGACCTAATTTCACTTTTAATTTTTTGTCGTCGTTGATGAAAAATTATGATGTACCTATAAAGCGAACTGTTCAATACTTATATTTTAGATCACGCGGGATTCTTCGCTTCCACACTTCAACAGAACACGATCACTTTGACCATGTCTCCGCTCGATGAGGATATCATCGAAGAAAACAGCTTCCTAAACTTACAAGTACTGGCGTCAACCAACCGCACCTCGGCATCTACTGTAGTGACTCTAGAGATCGTGAAGAACGATACTGTAACCCCTGTGTTTGAGCGTGCGGTGTACGAAGGCGAATACGACTCGATGGACGGACTGACACTAGAACCTATCATCTTAGTACAGGGCTACGACGCTACTGTAGAGGTCACCTTGCAAGGAGGTATGTGCTCAATTCAGCTGTGAACCCTTTAAAGTTATTTATAACTTTAAGAAATCTGCATGAGGCCGGAATCGAACTCACGACCTTTTGCTTGCCGTGCGACTGCTCTTCCATCTGGGTTACTTAGACAGTAGATGAACTGAACGAAATTTTCAAGTGTAATACGCTGTTACGGCCTCTTAAGTTTGCTAAAAGCTCACTAAACCAGAAGTATTTACATACTTACATGTGAAAGCTTTTGTAAATTCCTTCAATAAAAACTCGTGTTGACTGTTGTTTTAGGCCCTTAGGCAGGCTTCGCCACGAGTACTAAATTTGACGAGTAGCTAGACTATTTTTTGTACCAAAAAACAAGATGCATATTTTGATATAATTAAAACAATAATAATATGGGTTGTTGTTCACATTGAGTCAAGTTATCTACTCGTATGTGTATCTAGAAGTCTGTATTTACCTTCACAACGTAAAACCCGCCTAGGTAAATTTTTTAATGGGACAATATTATTTGATCCTCTAAAAACTAATTGATCTTTTTTGTATGTGCACTTTTAAAAATAAATGATGTTTATTATTATATTTTATCTATATATTAATTATTGGGTCTATATTAGTTGATCTACGGATAAATTTTGAATGATCTTCATTAAAGGTAACATAATATTTATGTTTAACACACTCTTTTAATATTTGGTAAACAAAAATAATATTTGATCCTCTTTTTTAGTTATTGATCTTTAATTTTGTTAATTTGTAGATTTTTATATCAAGTTTGCCTTTTAATATTGATCACCTAATAAATACATTTCGATCTATGTATAACTTAACTTTAAAATATATTTGATCTAACAAAAAATATTATTGGTTAATATTTTTAATTAAAAAATATCTTTTAACTTACGCGGTACTTTGTGGTTGAGTGACAATCGTCCGTCATTGGTTACTGAGTTGGCCAAGGGCTTAGCGGCCAATAAGCAAGCAGAATGGTACATTGNGGGGGTGAACTATTTTCTTCAAATTCGCATGAAACCATCCTTTTGATAATACCTATTCAACAAAAAAATAATCGTTCAAATTGATTTATAATCGGCGGAGATATTGCGTATAAAAAAGTTCATCCCCAATTTTCCACCCTTAGGGGTTTGTTTTTTCTATTATTAAATTTAAATGGGACCACCCTTGAGGTATTACCTATACGCCGAAAAAAGATTTGTTCAAATCGGTTCATAATTGGCGGAGTTATCGCGTAACAAACATAGAAAAAAAAAAACATACGGGTCGAATTGAGAACCTCCTCCTTTTTTGAAGTCGGTTGAAAAATAAGTACCATAACACAATTATTTTGAAGATTATTTGATATAGACAAAAAATAATTTAAACAAATCGAATTATTTAAAAAAGTATAACAATATTGAATATTTGGTGCTCATTTCTTTTATTTTTGAAGACCAACAAGTAACGATCAGATATAATTTTTACATCTCAAATTTTTTTTGCGTAGTTCAAAAGAGGTTAATATATCGATCGATTTAATTTATTTTATGTCTCAAAGAAAGAGGATCAATCATTAAAATAGATGACCATTTAGATTTTTTTATTTGCCGTTTTTGCTAATTTAAAAAGATCATTTAAATACATGCCTTTTTTAATCAATTTGCAAAGCAATGAAGTCGGTTGAAAACCTAGCTTGATTTATAGCCCTAGCCGTATCCGATTTGGCGCTCATCCAACGTCTATGTTTTATTTGAAATTCAAGAGGTACTGCATCTCCTTTTTGCAGCCAATATGTTTGTCATGTAGATAATGTATTGCGTAATGGATGGAAAATTGAAAATTCCTCCATGTTTACCGTTCTCGCAAATATTTATACGCTTTTGATTAACTTATTACATCGGTATCTGTTTAATTGTTACTGGCTGCATTAGTATATAGGGTGTTTTGGGAAAATTTAATGGGGCAACTACGATCATTAAAGTAACAGCACTTATAATGGGAGTCGTTCAAAGTTTTCGCTTTTCCTTACTAATCATCATCATCAAGCTTATTCCTTCCGACTCTTCGTCATTATTTATATGTTCCTAAGTAAAGCTATAAGTTTGATGGGCGCTGCGGCCCCTTTATAAATATTAAATGCTTCGTCAGTCATGTTTACTCGACTTTGACAGTTGTTTTAATCAATACACATGATATATTATGAAGGCTGTCCATATTACAAGCCCCTTCTCTTTAGCTAAGCGTGGTTCACGGAGTCACGGCTATTTGTAGAGTTCGATCGAAGGAAGCGGTATAATATTATAAAGTATTCCATAATGTTACGATCTGTATAATTAATGAAACAGTTTTTGAGTTATGAAGCGGTCAAAAATGGCTATAATGGTTCACTACACATCACACACGGTGCTGCTCGCCAGTTCTGTTACTTGAACTTGGTTTTACACGCTACCGCGTGTCTAGATAAGTGCCTTATTTATAATTGGATCTTAGGTTCGATTCAGTTCAGTTATTTTCAAATCATATTGGCTTGTATTTAGATCTATTTGTTAAGTTCGAAATCATGATAATTGATTTACTGTTTACTGTTTGGCGCATATCTAATTATGTTAGTACGCTCTTCATTAAAAAAATGTAATTTTTCAGAACACGCTAGTTATTTTCAACTGGTACAAGAGGGTCCGTCAATAAGTTTGACCGTATCCAGCCTCCCATCGGATCTGTTTCGAGAGCAAAACTTACTTCTGTATCTATCGGCCACCAAGCCTCGTACGGTCGGGGCCACCACTGCAATCTCTATAATGCTACCTCCAGGTAAGTTACTCACTCATACTTTTATTTACCTTGTAGATACCTAGTTACACTTTTAATGCTTTGAAATAACGAAAACCACAAAAGGTATTATAGAGTCTATTGTTGTTATGAAAGTGATTTCTTTTGGGGGCCGAATTTGCCTGTGCTACCTAATACAAAACATACATGTATTCATTGGTGAAGATTTTCTAACATTATAACCTGAAAAAAAGCTTATAACAAAAATATTTAAAGAACTATTCTCATAATGAAAGTGAACTTTATTAAATTAACCTATAAAGTGCAAGGTTTCTTTATAACTTATGGTAAGTTTATTTTCCTTAGTTCTGAACATTCCCACTTACTTATATCTTCGAACTTGAGTTCTATGCTATTGTTATTGCCAATTATACATTTATATCCCAGAACCCCAGCTGCAATTTGAACAACAATACTACAGAGGTGTGATTGAGGACAACGTTTTGCGACTTCCTTCGCTCATACTGACTGACGGCTACGATAACGAAGATGTTTCTGTCACTATTTTAAGTAGTAAGTATTAATATATACCTTCTTATTTATTGCCTTACCTATTTACGGTATACGGATAGGAACCTTCTTATTTACGAGTAGTTACTTGTATAAGTCTAAAATACTTATATTAACTTTTCAGGCAACGGAATAAACGAGTACTTTACCGCTACCATCCAAGAAAATAGTATAACGGTAACGATGTCACCATTAGACGAGGAAATTATAGAACAAAATACGTTTTTGAATTTGGAAATCGTTGCCGCCACGAACCGTAGCTCAGCGTCGACTATAGTTACGCTGGAGATAATAAAAGAAGACACTGTGACGCCTGTTTTCCAACGCGCTATCTATGCGGGTGCTTATGAAGCGCTCGATGGGTTAACGCTCGACGAAATAGAGCTCGTGCAGGGATACGATGAATCAGTGCTGTTTTCTTTGCAAGGAGGTAACGCCTAATTTTAATTAGAGAAGCAAACTAACTGGCATTTTTGTACGAAAAGTTGAGCTCTACTGTAAAAAGTAAGATACGATGTGGAGGGAGACCATCCCGTATAATATGTAGACATACGTTCAAATTTCTATATAACCAAGAGATTAGTATTAGTAGAATCCTTAAATACATTCATGAATTAATAATTGTCTTGAATTAAAATCAAATTAACTTTAATAATACTAGTGTGTAATGTAACATTATAAGTAAAAGAGCTTAAAATTACTTAATACATTTTCATATTTATTATCTACATTAGATAATTGTATTTTCATAAAACTCTAGGTATGTACAGTCACGGAATGAAAAGGTTCGTCAGTTTTCAAATTGATTCCTTCAACGAATCGCGAGCACATGTTACCTTTTGAAACTATGTTACAGAATAATCTCGAGTTAGAGAAAATAATCTTTAACTGTTCGTCAGTAAAGTTCAAAATTATTCAGATCAAAGTTGTTTGACGATTTATCTTGTCAAGAAGATTATTATGATTGTAAACTAAAACCTTCTTGTTGGTTCAACCTGCCATTATTGTTTCTATTAAATAAAATAAAAACTATTGTCAATTGGTCAATGTCATCATTGCATTGCACTGATGGGATAGAAAAATAAACAAGCAAAACCTTATTCGTTAGCAAACGTCACATTTATTTTAATGTTAGCAGCACTGTTTCTTGCACTGTTATGTTGGCAGGTTTGATTCTTACAGTACCTATATAGCCAGCTCTACGTTATACAGCATGAAGGTGCTCATCAACAACAATGACCATTTAGTGCAAGCAAAAACCGACACTAAGGTGACGAACCTTTTCATTCCGCGACTGTACAATGCGGACCTACTTACTTAAATGGCAGATAACTAAATACTACGTAAATTTTCTACACAATCGTCCTGCCAATAACTCTTTGGAATTTCTACTGAGAGTACCTAAGTAAATATTTTATCTCTCAACTTCCAACGTTAATGTTATAATCATCATCGAAATGTTCCAGAACATTCCGGGTACTTCGAAATAGTTCGAGTCGGTCCTCGCATAAATCTCACCGTATCGAGCCTTCCTACAGAGCTGTTCAGGGAGCAGAACCTATTACTCTCTATAGAAGCCACCAAGCCACGGACGGTGGGCGCCAGCGCTGCCATTTCTATAGCTTTGCCTGCAGGTGACAAGTCGATTTATTTACATTTCAAATAAAGAATGAATGAAAAACGTTTACCCATTTGCTACCAAATAATACATTATTGACGAGACTATTTGTCCACAACTTTTGGCTGCAATCTTAAATTATATTTGGTTAGACTTATAAATTCTGTTTAAAATTCGTATTATATGAGAAATATTAACAAATCTTTTATGTATGAAAAACGAGCTAGTTTTACTTCGTATAAAATCTGCATTTCTGCATTGAATATTGGATTTTTATTCTTAAAAACACACATTGTTGCAATGCGCAAATTAAACCTTACAAATATTGACGGTCATGAGTACGGACTCTAAAAAACGCAAGCGCGCCATCTAGCAGCAAATCGGCGCAACACTGTTTTGGCGCGCTTTTTTGCCCACAATATCTGAGGTTGGAATGTTGGAATCCTGACGATAAAATATTGTGTGAACATTTTCAGAAATCCAGCTAGAATTTGAAGACCCCAGCTACACTGGTGTTATAAAAGACAACATCTTACAGCTCTCCGAACTTAAACTAAGCCAGGGCTACGATACCGAGCCTGTTTCAGTTAACATTGACAGTGGTAAGACTCCAAATTTTAATTTTTAATTTTTATTAGGTAATCAAATTGAAAATCACTAAATTATTCGCTATCTGTGGGAGATAGAAAGAAAAAAGTCTATGGTAATAATTTTACTCGCTGAAAATGAAATGCTTCCCGGAATTCGATTACCTACTTAATTATATCAATGAGCATTAATTTGTAAGCACCATTGATCCACATTTGTACAAAAAAAACTGATAACTAACCTAAGAATGAAATTATTTTTTAATTAATTTGTTTTTTTCTAGACTATGCGTCGTATTTTACCACTGTGATCGATCAGAACATAATAACGCTCTCAATGTCACCATTGGAGAGCAACATAATAGAAGAGAACACTTTTATGAACTTGCAAGTGATAGCGTCAACAAACCGCAGCTCGGCCATGACGATAGTAACCCTGGAGATAGTAAAGAATGACACTCTGACGCCGGTTTTTGAAAGGCCCTTATACGAGGGCGTTTACGATTTAAGTGAAGGACTGGTGCTTGAGGAAATCGTTTTGGTGCAGGGCTATGACGACACAGTGGAGGTTTTCTTGCGCGGAGGTAAGAGACTTTTTTAGATATTGTACTCTAGTGGTTATCGTATTACAGCATAAAGAGCAGACATTTTATTGCATGTGTAGGTACTTTTAATCATATCAGAACAATTAATACCTACCTAATTAATTGGATGAAAACTCTTCAAAACATGACGATCGTTCACTTATTTTAGAACCTACTCGAATACTCTGCCAATTTGCCGTGTTATTATATTAATCGCTCAAAGGGATCTTTACAAAATCATGAATTCAATGGTGGAATCAATCAATTAAGGGCACTTGCCTAATTAAAGTCAATATGGGCTTTTCTATTTATAAGTATCCCCAAATATGCTCTATCTGTACGCATACCTGCCTTCATATTTAGGTATTCGTATAAAACCCGAGTAGCATACCCATAATTTTGACCAACAAGGGGCAAGCTTATTGTTTCACAAAACACAATATTTAGCATTGAAACACAAGTCTTCAATTTCATTACAATTCAGTTATCCAACAATAAATATCCCAAAGCAGTAACTTAGTTTAGATAATGTCTAAATAAACATATTCTTAACTAAATACTCGCTACGAAAAATCTTTTGAATAAAAGATTTTATTTACTAGTAATTTATACAAGAATAAAAAGATCTAGATTTCTCTATTTACGAATGGTATATTCATTTTATTGCCTTTTGCCTAGTCCTCAAAACTCTTAAAGTAATGAAGTGAATTAATTTAATAACGTAGGTAGCTTTCGTCGTAAACTTAACATGTCAAGGTATTTTTTCTCCTCCACATTCTGCTATATTCGTATCATTTCAAATGACGTTAAAACCTAAAGCTCTACAGCTTTCAAGTAAAGACGACGTTACATAATCTAATGTACCGTATTCAACATTTTGCAAAAAAAATTATGACTTGATGGACTGAGTACCACACTTGAACGAGTACTACTAAAATATTAAGTGTCATCTCTCTTCCACCTTTCTCAAGAAGAAACGGTTTTTAACATAAAAACACATTCAGCTACATATAGCTAGCCTCAGTTTTTATCTGTAGGCGAGCTGAACACCACTTGTCTGTATTTTATTACTGACAATTACCGTTTTATGTGATAAAGAGTAAGCATCGCACGTTTTTTCTGAGTACTCGTAGTCCAGAGCCAAAAGGTATTTCTGGGCCTAGGCGCTATAGGGAAATGTTTCAACCAGAGACCTGCACCTGACACAAAGCTTAAATATTACATCAATACGTTAGCGGGTGTAGGTGGCAACCAAAAACTCCGCAGCTGTGTGAAAATTGCCGGGAGTTTGTTCCACGTTTCGCCATTTTTTCTCTTCTGGCGATTTATCCAGTTGAATTTTCATTCGTTTTAACGACTGTAAACGGCAACCGTTTAACACGTATATTATCTGAATCGCTGAAACGCTTTACGTAGCTCTACCACCTGTGCTACGAATACAGATTTTAAGTTACGGATTCATTCAAAAAATATTGTTTTATTGTTGGGGATATTTTATTTATTTCTTTGGTAAATATGACGCACTCTAGGTACTTTTGTCATTACCACAACACCTTCTTTTTCACGTTTTGCTTTGATTACAATCTAGCTTATGAAATATCAGGTACAATTAATGTAATATAATTTCCTTTATGTATCTCAGTAACCAAAAGAACAAAAATGTAACTAAGTAGGTATATTTGAAAAAATATGACTGCCTACCAAACATATTGATTACTTTCATGATTTTCCATTACAGAACACGCTAGTTTCTTCCAGTTAGTCCAGGCAGGTCCGAGCATAAACTTGACCACCTCAGGTCTGCCGGATAACTTGCTCAGTGAAAATAACCTATTGCTCTACATTGAGGTGACCAAGCCGCGGACTGTAGGAGCCAACACTGCAGTATCCATTTCTATGCCAGAAGGTAATTATTACGTGAGAACTTAAAGAACAGTCTTTGGAATTTCAGGCCTCTATACAGTGTATTAGGTGACGTTTTCATACAATTTGGTAACTCCACCACATCTAGTAATTGTATAAAAATGTCACGCTGCGCTAAAAATGGCTGAAATGCCAAACTCTCGGAGTTTTTAGGGACCTTTAAGGATGAAGCACACTAATCAACCCGGAAACGGATCGTAACCGTATCAACTCGAGGCGGTCAGTATTCTTTGTAAGAAACTCCGCTCAGCAACGCACATTCATCCGCACCGTTCGCCTCGCGGCGAATATCGATACGGTGTAGATCTCTTTCCGGGTTGATAAGGTGTTCTTCATGGGTTTTACAAAATTGTTTTAGTATTTTTTTTATTTTTATTTGATTTGAGAACGAAAACCACTTAGGCTGAGTTGCACCACATTATTTTAACCGTAACAATGACAATAACCAGTGCTTTTTGTATGGAGTTTGACAGATTTTTGACGTTTGTCAAAGTTAAAGTAAGATGGTGCAACTCAGCCTTAGAGCAACAGTGTTTATTTATTCATTTGTTTTTATGTGAATTTGGAAAGGTAGAAGTAATAATCTGGTTTGTTATCTTTAGGTCTTAACCATCAATGGTAAGTCAAACTTTACTGAAACTGTATTCTATTCTTCTTTGTTCTTCTTCTAGTCAAAATTATATTGTTGTATGTATGTACAAAGTATGATTGCATTCTTGGCCTTTACTTTTTTCTCTACATTCCTAATTGCAGCCAGGGACATAAGATTTGCATACGAGTTCTATTATGGGACACTCCGTAGAGAAGAGGTGTGGATTCAAACCATCCAATTGAGCGTTGGCTACGAAGAGAGTGTGACCTTTTCGCTAAGTGGAGGTAAAGTTTTCAAATATTTTTATTTCATACCTTGACAGATATTCAAGTTTACATAAGCCATTAGATAAAAATGTAACGTTTTGGCCTATATGCAACGTGTTCTTGACGATATCTCTTAACTCTAGAGTAGGGTAGAGTAAGACCACTTAAATTAATCAAATGGCACTAAAATTATTTATAAATTCATTATTTTCTTACTTTAAAATTTATTTTAATATTGTGTACTGCAGAAACTTGATCGTTTAGGGATCACTTATTTATTTACTTCGACTAACAAAAGGATTACTAACAATCACATAGCAAACGCGCAATAAGCTTGTTAGAAAGTCAGGCCCTAGCAGCTCCATTACTTACTCGTACTTCTCGAGTTAAGAAACTTTGATTAAGAAAGGTCGAAGTCACACGACGAGAAACCGGGTGTCGCATCTTCTTATACCATTGCCTCATTTTATAAGGCCGAGCACAACGCACTGCGCTAAAAAAAATTGCCGCCATTTTTGTAAAGGAGTTTGCTGCACTATTGCGATCATAGTGCGGCGACTTACGAAGCTATTGTCCATTATCATTGTTATTATTATAACAATTTTAACTGGTCATATAATAGGGATAGTAACTCCTTTTTGCGGTCAAAATATTTCACAATTCATGAACATTTTTTTTTTCTTATAGGACAGGAGGCAAGCGATTTAGAACGAAGCGCGAATCGTTTATACAATCAAGTTATACATTTCCATAAATAACGTAAACGATTGCTCACCTCACATCAAAGACGCACTGATTCTTCAACGTTTGTACATTTTCAGAATATGCATCGTATTTCAATGTGTCGAGCGTGCAAAATCAAATAATGGTGTATTTACGAGAGCCGATCCCAGACAGTTCCATCGAAGAAAACAATTTCCTGCTTCTAACGCTTTCTGCGTCCGCTCTAAACGCTGTAACTGCTACTACCACTATAGGTATTGACGTCGTTAAAGAAGATCTAACAACGCCTGTGTTCAGTCAAAACATTTACTATGGCATTTATGCTGGACCATCCAATATAAATTTTGATACGATCAGCTTAGTCCAAGGCTTCGACGATTCGGTTACATTACACCTAGTCGGAGGTAAGGACTTTTAATACCTAGTTATTAATAACCTTCCAGGTAGCAATTAAGTATTTATAGCCATACTAAACAAAAAATACAATTACTTTAAAATTTAGTTTTAATTTGGCTTGGAATTTTATTGTATTTCAGTAAGTTAGATGGTCTTATTAGATAAAATTGAAAAAATCCTCATCACATTACCATTCATTGTTTCGTTTCTATTTCAGAGCATTCCAAATATTTCAATATAATTCTTTTCGAGAACGGCACCGTGACGTTGGAACTACACGACGCCATACCAGAGGAAGTTATTTTCGATGAAAAAGTGCTATTGTTCAGTATTTTAGCCGAGAAAGAATTTACGGTTGGCGCCAACGCGGTTGTTTCTATAAGTTTCCCGAGCGGTAAGTTGTTGCTCGCAATTAACATCGATAACTTTATTTTTACTTTTCAATCACTAACATTCTGTTTTCTTTAAAGTTAAGCATGTTCTTGCAGCTATATCTACAATTTTTTAACTTACCTTTGTGTCTTAGAAAATCTGACGTGCTGGCGCATAATTTATTGCGGTTCTTTTAAAAATAAATTTTTCAAATACATTTTCAATACAATTTTCAGAGCTAACTGAGCCAACAGTTTTGAGGTTTGCTAAAAATATTTACACTGGATCGCTACAGCAAAACGATATGAGCTTAGAGGATATTGTTCTTGAAACGGGCTATGCAACAGGCACTCAATTCGAGCTCACTGGAGGTAAGATTTTATTTTTATTATCGTGATGGATTACATCCCTGTTTAATTTCCTACTAATGAAGAAGGCCTATTTATTTGCCTATCAGGAACTCATTTGTCAAATAAACTACAACTTTTATGTTGGATTGCACCACCTGACAAACCCATACAGAATACACCCGTTATCGTTATAGTTACGGTTAAAGTTAGGTAGTGCAACTCAGCCTTAGTTTCGATAGTCAGATAAAGATAGTCGTAACTGTCCATTGTAAGATGGCGTTAAATGCCAAATAACTAGGAACTACGAGTATTTCAGTAACCGGTGGCAGTATGTTAACATGTTGTCAGTACTACAACCTACATTCTTTATTTTACGACGTACTGTATAAGATATATTGTAAAGTAAACCAATTAAGCACCAAGAACTTGGTAGCCGTAAATTTTACAATCCCATAAATACCGCGCAGTAACTGGCAGGTTTATTTGTGTTTATTTTCAACGTTGCGTGTTTTACACGACGAATAGCGTGATTTGATACTGACCCGTAATCGAGTATATCAAAACGAATTTGTTTCTTACGTTACATAAGATAATTAAGTTGGTACTAACACAAATCACGAACACAGTAGGTGCTTATACTTACACGCTTTGTGATTTCAGAATTCTCTGAATATTTCACTATGGCGAGCGAAGGCAACATTTTAAGACTTTCACCGACAAATTCTCTTCCGGTCGAGGTTTTCAGTCGTAAATTCATATCTTTGGAAGTGGAAGCTCGTAGAACAAGAGCTTTTACCGTCTTTACTGCTGTTATAATTGAAGTGGAGCAACCAGAAGCAGTTGTGCCACCCGTGTTCGCTGAAGCTTATTACAGAGGAGTTTATACACAAGAAACTGGCTTGGAATTTGAAGACAGCATACAACTGGCCCAAGGATTTGACAACACTGTAACATTTACATTGGAAGGAGGTACCTAAATAATTAAAAAGAATACCAATATAAATGTCAGTTACATAAAATGCTGCAATATTTAGATTTGTTCATTCCTACAAATGAATATAGTTGAATGAACTGTACGAAGCAGGGTACAATAACATAAAAAAATTGTTCCGGCAAAACTTAAATGCGGTTGTTGGACTATTTTTGACAGCACTTACATTGGTAGATAAATACGTAGAATTTCAATTAGTTAACTCAGTGACAGACAGTGGTATTGTGTTTTAAATGACAGAAGTTAATACCTAACTACGTTACTACCTATGTTAAAATAATTAAAATTTTCAGAATCTTCACAATGGTTCGCAATTGTACAAGTTAACAACACTCTCGATATTGCTATCAATAACAACATTCCGGCAGAAGTTGTAGAGGCCAATCATAATCTGCTGTTTAGTATTGTGGCTCGAAAAGAAGGCGCCACTGATGGCCGCGCAGCTATATCAATCGACCTGCCTAAAGGTACGTTCATACAATATTTTAACCGACTTCCAAAAAAAGAGGAGGTTTTTAGTCAGTATTATAGTACTTATTATTATTCTGTGGTATTATCAACTAAGACAAACAAAGGTTTACACTCATAGTTTTTTCTTAGATTTACGCCCGTATTCACAAACATTACTATGAGGTCTCCCAGTGCGCGTGGACGCACAGGGTGACACACGAACCAATCACAGAGCTCTATTCAACACTGTGCGTTCGATTTGCTGATTCACTTAAGCAAGCATCGTTTGTGAATACGGGCGTTAATTACCTATTACATACTTTTTTCTGAATTCCAAATAAAATTATGTATTACATGATCAATGATGTTTTATTTTATCATCGACAGAAGTAGAGACGCCAACAGTGATCAGATTTAGCCAGAATAACTATGTGGGTCAGATTCAGAACGGTTCATTAGAGTTACCACCTGTGACCCTTGTTGAGGGCTATGATATAGCCACCCAACTCAACTTATCAGGAGGTAAGCTTACTTAAGGACGAAGCAAACTTATCACCCCAGAAACGGAACGCCTCGCCGCGCTCAACCGCGGGGCGAGGCNTTAGATTTATTTATTCCTACAAATGAATATAGTTGAATTAAATGTACGAAGGGTACAATAACATAAACAAATTGATCCGGCAAAACTAAAATGCGGTTGTTGGACTATTTTTGACAGCACTTACGTTGGTAGATAAATACGTAGGATTTAAATGACAAAAGTTAATACCTAACTACGTTACTACCTATGTTAAAATAATTAAAATTTTCAGAATCTTCACAATGGTTCGCAATTGTACAAGATAACAACACTCTCGATATTGCTATCAATAACAACATTCCGGCAGAAGTTGTAGAGGCCAATCATAATCTGCTGTTTAGTATTGTGGCTCGCAAAGAAGGTGCCACTGATGGCCGCGCAGCTATATCAATCGACTTGCCTAAAGGTACGTTCATACAATATTTTAACCGACTTCCAAAAAGGAGGAGGTTTTTAGTCAGTATTATCAAGTAAGACAAACATAGGTAATACGCTCAGTTTTTCTTAGATTTACGCCCGTATTCACAAACATTACTATGAGGTCTCCCAGTGCGCGTGGACGCACAGGGTGACACACGAACCAATCACAGAGCTCTATTCAACACTGTGCGTTCGATTTGCTGATTCACTAGGCCCGGTTTTTTGGATCGTAGTTAAAATAACCAATGGTCAAATTTGACAGATGACAAATGACAAGTGGTTAAATATCAGAAAAAAATGTTTTTCGAACAATGGTTAGCTTGACTTTTATGACTTTTAGTTCATTTTTTAACTATTGGTTTACATTTTGTCAATATTTAACCATTAGTAGCAAAATTTAACAATTAGTTATTTTAACTATGAATCAAAAAACTGGGCCTTAAGCAAGCATCGTTTGAGAATACGGGCGTTAATTACCTATTACATACTTTTTTCTGAATTCCAAATGAAATTATGTATTACATGATCAATGATGTTTTATTTTATCATCGACAGAAGAAGAGACGCCAATTACAGTGATCAGATTTAGCCAGAATAACTATGTGGGTCAGATTCAGAACGGTTCATTAGAGTTACCACCTGTGACCCTTGTTGGGGGCTATGATATAGCCCCTCAACTTAACTTATCAGGAGGTAAGCTTACTTAAGGACGAAGCAAACTTATCAGCCCAGAAACGGAACGCCTCGCCTCGCGGTTGAGCGCGGCGAAAAAGGTATTACGGTGTTGATCCCTTTCCGGGTTGATAAGTGTGTATGACCTTTAATATTACAAGCGCTTTTTTATGCGAACGTTTATTATAATGCAAATAACATAAGGCTTTTGGAAGGATTTTCTTCGCTCTTATTTCTCACGGTGCTAAGAAATAAGCGATCCGGAGAGGATAAAGGTATTTTCTTTTTGTAACCAAATTGTCGCTCAAGTTATTTATTTTCTTTTTTATTTTGAAAGTTGTTGGTACAAATTCGTGGTTGTAATCGCAATTATATTCATCAAATTTATTTTTTTACATTATCTTTTGTTGTTTTCAGAATACGCCCCGTACTTTACACTAACCCGAGACTTCAACACCGTAACTGTTGAGCTGGCTGTCGACTTACCAACGCAAAACATCGCCGAAAGTGCCTTTATAGTGCTTACCATAGAAGCGTCGTATCCAGAGGCGATCAGTGGCCACACAACGATCGTACTTGAGCTTGTCAAAGAGATATCTACAGAAATAGTCACTCCAGTGTTTGAGCAAGCTTACTATGTTGGCCAATACTCGGAAGAACAGGGATTACTATTCGAGGATACGATTCAGCTCATTCAGGGCTTTGACGAATATGTTTCGTTCAACCTGGACGGCGGTGAGTAATACAGATTAGCATAATAAACCCATCCTATTTAAATTTACTCGTACAGATTCATTTTCTGAGTATAAAAGTTATCAAGGAAAATTTTCGGCTATATAACATCACCCTACAACCAAGAGGGGCGGAGCAGTAGAGAAGAATGTTGCAAATACGGGAAATATTATTCAAAACTATTTTTACGCGTACAAAATCGCGGACACAGCTGGTAGTAATATTCCTTATGAATTCAAATTATTGTGAATTACCCTTTCACGCTTAGGAAAGCTACATAGCAGACAAAGATAAAATTAAGTTTCTCACAGGAGATTACTAATCACTCATAGCTTTTATTCTTTGCTCGGTGTCAGTTCAAATTCGAAGTAGGTGGTAACGATCATCATCCTTATCAATTGAATTTCAGATAGTGCGCAATGGTTCACATTAGTGCCGGGCTCTGATAACACCTACAGCCTAGCACTCTCCAGTCCCATTCCGGCAGCTGTCGTCGCCAACAATCAGAAACTCATCTTCGTCGTCACGGCTCAGAGGTCTGGTGGAGTCGCCGCCCGAGCCACTATTGTTATAGCATTGACTGACGGTAAGCACGAATCTCACGAGAGTTACAATTGTCTGCATCCCACAACATTACTACACATTTCGGTTCAAACCAACTGTTTCTTCCAGAAATCACCACCGATCAGGTTCTTGGTTTCGACCGGATAAGCTACGTTGGCTCCATCGCAAACAACTCAATCAGCTTGAGCCCCATAGTACTGAGCGAAGGATTCACGAACGAAGTAGCATTCACGCTGCACGGAGGTGAGTGCTAATTTCAGATAGTGCGCAATGGTTCACATTAGTGCCGGGCTCTGATAACACCTACAGCCTAGCACTCTCCAGTCCCATTCCGGCAGCTGTCGTCGCCAACAATCAGAAACTCATCTTCGTTGTCACGGCTCAGAGGTCTGGTGGAGTCGCCTCCCGAGCCACTATTGTTATAGCATTGACTGACGGTAAGCACGAATCTCACGAAAGTTACAATTGTTTGCATCCCACAACATTACTACACATTTCGGTTCAAACCAACTGTTTCTTCCAGAAATCACCACCGATCAGGTTCTTGGTTTCGACCAGATAAGCTACGTTGGCTCCATCGCAAACAACTCAATCAGCTTGAGCCCCATAGTACTGAGCGAAGGATTCACGAACGAAGTAGCATTCACGCTGCACGGAGGTGAGTGCTGGCATATGCCCTCC